AGATTCAATTTTCTACAGGTTTCTTGTTTTGCAGCATAAAGATTAATCAATGCATAAACCTTTTCCAAAACTGTGTTTCCATAGCAACCTGGCCTCCGAATTCTATAATTCATGTTTGCTTTTTTCATAGCATGTTAAACGGTTGCCTTTTAGATTGACCCTACTGTGTGTGCTTATGTTTTAATACTGATCTATACATACATCCACATGTGGCAGAAATGTCCCTGATACAGTACGTTAAATATGAAATCCCAGATTAATGTTTGCCTGGACACGGAGGTCAACCCCTGCTGCATTATACGCCTCCGTGACATTGGCTGAACTTCCTGTTTGTCCACCATCTGATTTGTGCATAGGCTCATAAGCTCCTGTTAGCTCTAGCTAGAAGTGTGATTTTGAGAAAAATTGCCCATTGTCTTGTGGTCTTTAGCTTCACACTTGCAAACTTAAAAACATAAAATAAGAAAGTGATTTACGTTCTGATTTGTAACTGAAAAGAAAAAATAAATCAAAACCTGCAATTTGTTAGACCCTTTGGCAACTGAAATATCCTCTTCCATTTCCCCCTTCCAGTAAACCTTTTCAAACACACACTTCATCCCATTTCCCCCCCACAGCGGGGACAAGCGATACAAGTGGCTTTACCATCCCCCCACCCCCCCTCCTGCAGCCAGTGAGCCATATGGACGATCACAGATTAAAGGGGGGGGGGGGGGGGAGAGGAGAGGGATATATTCTGTGTGCATTTATACAGTCAAAAACTGAAACCTTGACTTTAATCAAATGTTTTATTTCAAAAAATGTCACATAGCTTTATTAGGTTAGTTGAAAGCAATAATATTAGGTTGAACCTAATATTATTTTATTTAAACTTGATATTATTGCTTTCAACTAACCTAATACAGTTATGTGAAATCTGTTGACGAACAATACATTTAATTAAAGTCAACGTTTCAGTTTTCTGCGAGGGAAAAATGGTTGGTACTATTGATGAATCAAAGAAAGTGTAGTGTCTGCTTGTTCCCAAACACACACACACACACACACACACACACACACACACACACACACACACACACACACACACACACACACACACACACACACACACACACACACACACACACACACACCCATGGCCTTATTCGTTCTCTACTAATTGGATGACTGTTCTGGCAGATGATGGCTGTTTAGGAAGGAGATGGAAGTAGACGTTAAGTACATTACACACAGGAAAAGGTTAATGAAAGTAAAAAGGACTGTTAGGTGACAAAGAAAGGCCATTCTTAGTTTGTTACCTTTTCTGGAGCTAAACTGAACTGAAGTGTTATGTGTGCTGTGAATGGGAGTTTTAGCCACATCGTGCTGTGTGTGGTTGCATTTAGCATGAATGTGTTAGCACTCACTGCAATTCATCTAAGCAAATCATCAGGAAATGAAATGGTCTAACATTTCATTTGACTTAAGGGACGACTCATTTGGGATTTGAAAGAAGAAGTTTGACATTCTTCCTTTCATAAATGATAATGTGCCCTGGCGTGATTAGCTGGCAGTAAACATGCTAACAGACATGCTAAGCGATGGCTAAGCGATGGCGATATTGCCAGTTTAGCCCTCCTTCTGGTCAAATGACCCTTTTCTTGCAGGGTGTTGCATTCTCTCTTGAGTCTCCCCATTCCCCTTTTTTCAGTCTCAGAAAATGTTTTATATTTGCCCCTTATGGCCTCAGCATTAACATTTTAGCAAATATCTTGCTTTGAAACATAAGGTGGTTGTGGTTTGATATAGCTTCTAACAAAGCAACTTGTTGAAACATTTTCTTAACACCAGAGGAGCAATTTTAATATTCAAATGATATGAACTGCCACCAAAGGACCTGTGTCTGTGTGTCTCTGAAACATGAGCTCCTGAACCTCGCTGCAGCTCACAGATGATGTTATGTTGATATCTTCAGGAGAAGGTCCTCCTTCTCCCCTTACAGCTGCAGCAAGACCCGACCCCTGACCCCAGCTCAGCTGAAGGTCCTATTATAGACTAACACGTTTTCTGAGGACATACAATAAGTTTTCTTATTCAGTAGATTACTTTGTTCGACCATTATCCCATTTTCTTGCACTATATGTCATTTTGTAAAGTCACACACATCATTGACAATTTTGCGTCATCATAAGGGATGCCATCTGGAAGATCCATGAATGCCTTTAAAATGTAGTCAATTACAGATAATGATACAATAATGCAACCCGACTGCATTTCAAAATAATAAGGATAATAATAGTTAGATTACATAATGTGGATACTTTCCATCTCAGTAGTGTCAGGTTTGCAGAATCTGCCAAGCCATGATTTTCTTAGGGATACTACCTTTTCTATGATATTGTAAAAGTTGGTTTACAAGATTTAATTTTTATGATTTTGACATTGTAGTTCTGCATATTTAAGATGATCAAAGCATGTTTATATCCAACAGTTTTTATCCAAACGTTAAATCATAATTTGTTTAAAAGACACACAGTGTTTCAAGTCTTTGTGGGCATGTTTGAAAATCCTATAACTTCTAATATGTTTTTCAACAGGGGCCTATAACCTTTCTATAACGATATAACCACTAAGCATAATTAGATGAATTAGCATTTTAACACATTTGTAATGGACAGAGGTTTTCTATTTCAATTAAACATGTTGAGATGGTTATCAGTTGTCCTCTTGGAGAAATCAATAAAAGCTTGTACTTTTGTCAGATATGATGAATGTCATGTGCTTGTTTATATTCATTCATTCATAGAAAGCGGCCTTCTCATGTGGTTTCACTGACTCCAACAATGAGGGTTCTTTCTCCCTATACTGAGATATTCAGTGAAGATAATTGTTTATTTGATATTTTCAACAGTGACAGTATTGTATGAGTCATGACCTCGAAGAGTGCAAAGAGAATGGGGACATTTACCTCGCTGATGTCATCAGACAAGGACATATGTACACGGCGTGAATACAAACACACTTTTGACCGAGGAGGAGACATACATTGACCTGTAGTGACAGCGGGAACCTGCAGTCTGAAGCTTTTATTAAACAGCATGACATTAATTCTCAGATCCAATCAATGGGCATGAAAAGGTCTCTGTAATCTGCATTCAGTCCGAGTGGATCAATAGCTCTGCTCGGGGCTACAGACTGACACAGATCCTGCCTGCTGCCACTAAACAGTCCGTGACATGAGGATTAGTGACCATAAGGCTGAGCAGAAGTCAGGCTGGTGTCTGGACCGGTCTGTGGGCCTGGTGCTGATCACAAGTCAGCTGCAGGGTCAACTCCTATGATAACCAATACTTATTATAGTTACATTTGGAGATTTATCCGCTCTCTAGACAATCTGCTGTGCCAGAATCTAAGACTTTAATTCCAGATAGTTACTAGTGAATGAGTACATTTACTTAAGTACAATTTTGAGGTATTTGTATTTAACTTGAGAATCTAATTACCTGCTACTTTATACTCCACACCACTCAAATGCAGAAGTACATTTTACACTACATGAATCCTTCGTAATATATTTATATGATGTGCATCAATCATATGAAATAAAATCAGGACATTTATGCATTAGTGCAGTTACAAGCTCCCAAGCTGTTCATGAAGTACTACATCAGTATCACTGTTACCAGCTCAAATAAACATCAATAATTATTATACAAAATATATATAATATACCTTATTCTGAACAATGAGTACCTTCACTTTTTTTACTTGAAGTACAAAGTACCTCACATGTCACATGCCGTCGTCTTTGAATCGCAAGGTTGTGGGATTTACTTGACCTCAAGTTGCTCTCGGTGGCCAACGGTGTGTGTGTGAGTGTGTGTGTGTGTGTGTGTGTGTGTGTGTGTGTGTGTGTGTGTGTGTGTGTGTGTGTGTGTGTGTGTGTGTGTGTGTGTGTGTGTGTGTGTGTGTGTGTGTGTGTGTGTGTGTGTGTGTGATGTAAGCTTCTTTGATCAGGTGGCTCTGTATGGATGGGTGTGAAGGATGACTTGTAAATGCAAAGCACTTTGAGGAGTGATACCAATGCTTTTGTACTTTTACTTGAGTAACCTTTCTGACTATTTGTAACAGAGTATTTTGACACTGTGGTATATCTCCTTTAAGTACAGCATCTGAGTGCTGATATAACTCCTCTGATAGTTACATGTTTCTGTGTGTTTGTAGTTTTCTTTCTAAAAGACAAATCCACTTTGATATCTTTCTAAATAGCTCCTCTTGAGTTAAAGCTGCTCTTATAGGCTGGTGTGCAGCACGCATCACGTTCAAAGCATTTCTTAGATTTCACTGTAGGTGAAGACCTTAGGAAAAGGTTGGGCATGTTATGTTGGGCAATAACCAGCAGCAGTACACATTGACGGTATTATTTACCAGTGTGTGTACTTGTACTAGACTGATGTTCTCTTGTTCCCATACTATTTGAAGAAGTCATTAGTAGACACACTCATGTTCACTTTGCAAGTCACTCAGACATTTCAGGCCAAACACAAGGAGGTGACACAATGCACAAATGCCATACAGGAAGTTAAATCATCTATGCTCTAATTTGAATCTTTTGAAATCCACAGATTTCCACTCCGGCCCCATTCGAGCGTGTTCAACTCCTAGTGTACCTTTTACATGTAGCAGCATACATGCACCTCTGTTGCCAGACCAGTGGATCGCTTTAGTGTTTCTTCTGGAACATACCGTTTGACTCCATGTGATCAGGACTTATCGGCACAGATAAGCCTCATATCAGTCCATAGTGTGTCAGTGAAGCCCCCTGCTGTTTTGGCATGCCGCCCTGTGCAGACCACCTACTCTCTGCTCTCTCTCTGGATGCATATCTAGGCTGGTGGGTGTAAAAATAGCCGGGTTGGGGGGGTGTTAGTCAATGGTCAAAGAGTTGCACGGAGTGAGAGCTCTGCTGGCAGTCACAGTGAAACAGGGACAGCAGCGCTGCTCAGCCGGAGGGAAGGGAAGTTTGACAGGGACTGAGGGGGGCGTCCCCCCTGGATGGTAGACTGTTTTTTAAGGGGGAGGCCAGGGGGAGCAGGGCTGGATTATCAGAGTGATTAAATGCCCTCACTTAGATTCTGTACGTTCTGATGGGATAGTGAACCTCGCAGCATGGGCAACGCGGCCATGTGTAAGGTGTGCGGCTCGGACAAGGGCCTGAGGACGGGGAGCCGGTCCCACCTGGACCAGGACGCTCTCCCAGACTACTACTGTGAGGACCACTGCCCTGTGCAGACCCCTCTGGTAAGAGTTCAGGAGACTTTACAGACACACACTGAACAAACGAAACGTTGACTTGAATTCAATGTATTATGTCAACAGATTCCATATAACTGTATTCGGTTAGTTGCTACTTCGTACTCAAGTACTGTTCGTGCTTACTTGAGCTTTTTCACATTATGCTACTTTATACTTTTACTCCCCTACATTTATTTGGCATATTTAGTCACTAACTACTGTGCAGATTTAGAATATGAATACAACATATAACTAACACATGACTGTATATTATTGCAGGTTAAGGTACGCAGTAGTTAAAAAGAAATCCAAAGAAAGCCCACATTTACCAAGTGCAACACTGTAGTGATGAACACATTCATTTTCTGACAAAGTACATTGTGATGCTAATACTTTTGTACTTTTACTTAAGTACAATTTGGAATACAGGACTTTTACTTGTAACTGAGTATTTCAACACGTAGTATTGCTACTTTAACTGAAATAAATCATTTGAGTGCTTCTTCTGCATATGAGCGATTTGATGGACTTCTATAGAGCAGGTTAGCTCTCTAAACCCAGAGGTATGTTATACTGGTCACAGTCTTCGTGTTCTTGGTGTCACTGACAAGCTAATGTACTTCCAAGCAGCTGACACGTTCCCTGTTTTCAATGGAAGCAGGTACTTCAAGTTCTGCGTGGAGAATCAACTCTGATTGGTGCATTACAATGGGTATACCATTATGAAGGTGTTCAGTGCTGGATGTGTGTGAGGAGCTGTGCATTGGTTAGTGTGTGTAGGATGTGTGTGAGGAGCTGTGCATTGGTTAGTGTGTGTAGGATGTGTGTGAGGAGCTGTGCATTGGTTAGTGTGTGTTGGATGTGTGTGAGGAGCTGTGCATTGGTTAGTGTGTGTAGGATGTGTGTGAGGAGCTGTGCATTGGTTAGTGTGTGTAGGATGTGTGTGAGGAGCTGTGCATTGGTTAGTGTGTGTAGGATGTGTGTGAGGAGCTGTGCATTGGTTAGTGTGTGTAGGATGTGTGTGAGGAGCTGTGCATTGGTTAGTGTGTGTTGGATGTGTGTGAGGAGCTGTGCATTGGTTAGTGTGTGTTGGATGTGTGTGAGGAGCTGTGCATTGGTTAGTGTGTGTAGGATGTGTGTGAGGAGCTGTGCATTGGTTAGTGTGTGTAGGATGTGTGTGAGGAGCTGTGCATTGGTTAGTGTGTGTAGGATGTGTGTGAGGAGCTGTGCATTGGTTAGTGTGTGTAGGATGTGTGTGAGGAGCTGTGCATTGGTTAGTGTGTGTTGGATGTGTGTGAGGAGCTGTGCATTGGTTAGTGTGTGTTGGATGTGTGTGAGGAGCTGTGCATTGGTTAGTGTGTGTAGGATGTGTGTGAGGAGCTGTGCATGGTTAGTGTGTGTAGGATGTGTGTGAGGAGCTGTGCATTGGTTAGTGTGTGTAGGATGTGTGTGAGGAGCTGTGCATTGGTTAGTGTGTGTAGGATGTGTGTGAGGAGCTGTGCATTGGTTAGTGTGTGTTGGATGTGTGTGAGGAGCTGTGCATTGGTTAGTGTGTGCTGGATGTGTGTGAGGAGCTGTGCATTGGTTAGTGTGTGTAGGATGTGTGTGAGGAGCTGTGCATTGGTTAGTGTGTGTAGGATGTGTGTGAGGAGCTGTGCATTAGTTAGTGTGTGTAGGATGTGTGTGAGGAGCTGTGCATTGGTTAGTGTGTGTAGGATGTGTGTGAGGAGCTGTGCATTGGTTAGTGTGTGTAGGATGTGTGTGAGGAGCTGTGCATTGGTTAGTGTGTGTAGGATGTGTGTTATTACCGCTCCTCACCTTTCCAATGGCAGTGTGACATTGTTGCTCCTAAATACCCCTGCACAGCAGCATGTGGACTCTTGTGGCTAATTTGAAAAGCAATGTAATGAATTTAGCAGCAAGTAGCTGCTACTGGGAGAACAACACAAAGAATGAGTCTTTTGTTTGTTTGTTTGTTTCTTAAAGATATATCTTGAGTGACATTTTTGTGAACGTTTTCGACTCGCCAATCTTAACACTTATAGTACGCTTTCTAAAATGGTCAGCTGTGATAGAAGATGTATGAGATCATATTTATGTATCTACAAATAACAGTCCTTTAACATAACATTGAACTTGAATGCATAGTAAACCCTCGCTCTTAGCGATAGTGCTCATCCTGTACAAATGTGCCTGCTTTCCTTTCGGCTTCACATTCACTCAACTGTCAGAATGTGTTCATGCTACTGACTTGTTATACCTAAGAAGTTGCAGAGTGTATTTCACCTGACGCGGCGCAGGGACTGGCGCAGGCTGCTATATCGGTCTGAGTTTGCAGGAGGAGGCAGGACCCACAGCCTGCCCTGACCTCTGCAGCTCAACACCCTGCTTCTTTGCTGATAGGATGAAAGAGAGGGAAACAGCAAACAGTGGGACAGAGCTTCACCACAACACTGTCTCTGGATATTTATATCATACATAGTGACCCTCCTTCATTGGAACTGTTAAGATGTTCTTCAGACGTGGTGTGTTCATGAGCTTTAAGATCATGCTTCAAAGAGCATGTGTTGCGTTTGGGAAGTGGAGTTTATTAAGGGATTAGTTATAATCATGGATCATAACCCTAACTCTATTGACAATGCCATCCATATTGCTACTTAACTAGCATGGCAAAAAAAACAACGTCTATACATAAAATAATTGGGAAATAGGATTTGATGAAAGCATCATGACTAGAGCCAGACTGTAGTTTGACCAGAGCAGCACGGCCAGCTGCTCTGTTTGCTGTTATACTCTGCTATCCCAGCGTGAGGAGCATGATGTGAGAACGTGAAGGTTCTCTGAGTGGACTTATGGGACATTAGCACATTGGACTACATCTTCCAGATTGGACGGATACAAAGCAACACAATAGGAGCAAAGAACCTTTCCAATCCTCATAAAGACCGCCTGCTTTTATCTTTTGACTTTAGTTATCAGACATTAAAGCTTTCTCATTTCTCTAATTCCCCTCCTCGACTCCTATCCTCGTGTCTTAGTCCCGCCCACAGGAGATGAGCAGAGGAGTCGAGGAGGGGAACCGAGGAGAGAGGAGGGGAAGCAGCAGGCGGTTAGAGAAATGAGAACTCCTCTCCTCTGAGCAGTCATTTTAAAGAGACGTCCATTAATGATGACAGGAGGCACAGCACTCTGTCTGATGGACAGATGTGTTCATGACCACTTATATATTTACTTTGAATTCGTTCACAGTGCGGTATAATGAGACAATAACAGGCTACAGATGCGGACATATACACACATATATTTATATAAATATATACAATTTCAGAATCAAACAAGTATGAGAGCACTCTCATAATAACGTAACACAATCAGAGACTGGATATATCCCCTGCGGGTTGTTGTGTGAGCCACCTCTTGAGAATTGTCGTATTTTTTAAGAATTGTTTTTCTTATGTCCATCTTCAAAAACTGTCCGACTGACAGTTTAAACATTGTCACAGGATAGGTACCTGTCAGCCAATAAGACACGTTTATGTCCATGCAACTCTCTGGTGATTGGTCTGGTGTCTTGCCTCTGTTGCATTCACTGAACACGGGAAATTACAATCCTGCCGTCCTCTCTAGTGTCATGATGAGGTTCAGGTAAAGCACGGGTAATGTATTATATTATTGAGGGAGAATTGTCCGGGGCTAAAGAAAAAACATCCGGGGCTAGAACCATCAGTGTCTCCTCGGTTAGAGCTCCTCCAGAGAGCCTCCTCGATCCTCGGTCCTCGATGTGCATTTAGAGAAATGAGATGTCCTTCAACATGGCGCGCTGAAAACCATTTCCGGGTCACTACCGGAGGACCGAGGAGTCGAGGAGGGGTAATTAGAGAATTGAGAAACCTTCCGTGTGTGTTGAGCCTGAACCGCCAAATCTGACGCTGTGTTCACTTCCTGTTGGAAACTGTCAGCATTCTTTAGTCTAAAACTTCAGCACAAGCAGCTCCGAACACATGCATAAGTACAACCATATCATTGTATTTTATAGCCCTATGCACTTATGTCTAAATGTGTCTAAACAAATGATGTCCCAGGTCCCGCACTGATAGGGCCACAGGAAGAGCTCTGATTGGCTGGGCCATTTCCAAGTTGCCTTGGATTTGGCTCAGCTCTGCACTGCTGATTGCTGATCAGCTGACATTACTCATAATGTTAGTGAAGGGAACAGGGAAGGTGAATGAGATGGGTCTGGTTCAGAGATGACAGCTTGAGGATAATGAATTAGAACAGGTTATTTATACTCTGCATGAAGGGTCTGCACGTGTGTCATTCTAATTACAATCGCTATCACCTCAAAGTATAAAGAGCAGCTTTTGATTTGACCAAAGGTCTTGCTCTTTAGTTCAAACGGTTAGTGGTTGGATTTGTTTGAAGTGGTGGTATTAGCTTAAAACGATAAGTGCACATGGACCTGTGTCTGCATGGACCTGTAAGGAGCTTTTAGTCTGAGACACTGGGAGAAGTGTGGTTGCTAGTGAACAGAAATAGTGTTATTCCATCCGGACAGCCAGGAATAGAATGTCTTCAATCAAATAAACAAGAACCGAGAGGCAACTGATGTGTGTGTGCTCTTGTTCTTATGTGGCTGTAAAGTCCTCTTGGAACTCCTTCTAAGGATTGAGATGTTTAAAGGGAGAATTAGATTCAGGTTCAATGTAAAGAATTGGACAATAGTATATAGGGCAGTTACATGATGATGCATTTTGTTAAGTGTCTATTATTTAGCTAACACTTAAGTATACCCCTACTAAAGTATATACACACTAAAGTACGTACAAATCATGACTAAGTTATTGTTTTTGAAGCTATAAAGTGGATCTATTGGCTCTTGCATGTGTGCTTAAACTCTAACTCTAATGGAGATATACATTCAAGGGTTATTTATTTGTATGCATTTATTCAACACAGGGTCGCACAGCAACAAATAAATAAATAAAATAAATGTTATCTATTGGATCAGGTTTTTTTGCTTTCTTAAGTTTCCTTTGAAGAATTACAGCTGTTTCTGAGCTGCTCTCCCCGGGGGGGGGGGGGGGGAGAGGGTGGGATGACTGCTGATTCAATGAGTTCTAAAACTGTTCACGTGTCAGCCTTTAATTGGCTGACACGTCGTTCCCTCATCACTCCAGATATGGGTTCTCATTGTTGTTTGAAATCCAGACAGTTATGGAGAGCTCTCTTCTCCTCTGGTGTTGCATCGTGGGTGTGCGGTGTGAGAGGAGGGGGCGGAGCATCCTCTGTGGATCTGTTGGCTCTGTTTGCAAACTGGATAGAGTCCAGGCTGGCTGGGAATTTATTTTTCATGTGCTGGACAACAAAGTTGATCAGACGTTGGATAAGTGCCTCTGTGCGGGGGTGGCTTAAACACTGCACACTTTTGAAGGACAGGGATGATGGAGGCTGATTTAGGCGGGAACACATGTGACAGTGATATGATGAACATGTGTTAATGACTGTATCTACAGTAGCTGTGGCAACAGCATACATACATGTGAGCTGGATCCATAATACGTTTTGGACTACAACAAGCCTCCACACGTGAGAAACACACACTCACAAATGTGTGAGTGTGTGTGTGTGTGTGTGTGTGTGTGTGTGTGTGTGTGTGTGTGTGTGTGTGTGTGTGTGTGTGTGTGTGTGTGTGTCACATGTACTGATAGACAGCTCTAACAGGAAGCGATGCCCTTCATGTTTTATGTGCTTACTTCTGCTGACAGACAGAGCCTTGTTGTCATGGTTACCTCCAGAGAGGGCAGTGCTTGTCTCCGTGGTAACTGGGAGGGGCAAGGATGCTTCCACTGGTCTCGCACAGAGCATACGGGGGGGGGGGGTTTGCATTATTGATAAAGCTCCTCCGGCTACAGATAAAGACTTTCTTAAATGAATGTTTGATGTAATGTGATGTGGGGGGGGGGGGACTTTAGGACTTGGCTTTGTCATGCTCGGCAGGTCCGATTGAGTTGTGACGTAATGTGTCTAGACACGAGCTGGAACATAGACAGGGACAGATTGTTTAATTAGGAAACATGTGAAACAATGAAGTGTAACATCTTCATCTGATCCATCAGTTATCAGATACTTCTTTGAGTACACCAAATGCAGTTTAAGATGCACTTGTTTTGCTGTGATAAAGGAAACATAGAAGGAAGACCATGCCTGACTAAAGTTTATTGGTTAAAAACAGCACAGTTTGTCTTCTCTAAATGTTGTTGTCATTGTAAATGCACTTGAACCCAGTAGTTAATAAGTCAAAGTCCAAAAAAAAACTGTTGCAATAAGAAAAAATAAACGATCAAAAACCTTTTTTAATAAAGATAAAATTATAAATATAAATATTTTTAGCATTTCTACATTTTGTCTCTTCTATTCCTTCAACATATCCCATATTGATATTGTCATAGTTAGTGTTTAATGACGTTGGGGTCGTCATGTCATCAAGCATTTTGTGTTCAGGACACATGTTCCCTTCAAAGAGAGTGACTAAGCTCCTTATGAAACCATGTAGGAAGCGGCCTGCCACAATTCTCCTGTTTTCTGCAATGTTAAGTGTTTTCCATTCAAAAGCCTCACTTGTCTGAGAGTGTTGTTGGTCTGTGTGTCACTATAGCAACCCGCCAGTAGTGGAACGATGATTAGGGAAAGGTCCTGCATAATGTGACTCTGCAGCACTGGAGGCAATGTGAGGACATGAGACGGGGGGGGGGGCTGCTTTGTGCAGTGAAACAATAGTGACCCTGTATGTATGAGGCTTTAATACTGGTCATTTGATACACTTCAGAACTTGATAAAAATGTGATGCAGGGCCCTCTATGGTGACCCTCCGCTGCTAAACACCTATTGTGGTGCTCTGCTGCATGTAGCTGGTGTATTTCTTAACACATGCCCCTCAAACAACCTCAGTCTACCACTGCATGTATAACTGCAGAGGCTTGGGGACCGACAGACATGTAACTGGATTCTGTATTCCCTCACAGTCACATGGAAAAATGACAAATGACCCTCTCTAACTCTGAATTTCTCACATTTATCTCAGTGTTTGTTTACATTTTGGTGTGTCCGCAACATGCGATCCGACCACACCAACTCTGCTATACAATCAAGTAGAGAGGAACTTCTACACATCAGAAACTTGGTGGACAGCATGTCTATCACCGAGACCGTCAAACAATGGGGATTCGCCATGGAGGAAGACAAAGCGAGGGTCCCGGGCTGGAGTGCTAGTGAGGCTAAGGAAACGTGAGAACCGGCCTCCTCTACCGAGTATTCTTTTGGCTAATGTCCAGTCACTGGACCAGAAGCTGGATGAAGTCAGGAGCCGGATGGCTTTTCAGAACTGTAACGTGATGGTTTTCACGGAGACTTGGCTCAACTCTGCTTGACTCCGCCATTGTCCCCGACGTATTTTCTATTTTTCCCCAGAACCAGACTGTAAACTCAGGGAAAAGTAAGGGAGGGGGTGTGTGCTTTATGGTGAACTGGTGCATAGATGTGGGGATTATTTATTCGGACTGTTCTCCTAATTTAGAGCACCTCATGATCGGCTGCTGGCCTTTTCATTTGCCGAGGGAATTTACAGTGGTTGTGCTGTAGTATAAAATCTGAGCAGAGGACACATTTTCGATACTAAATGTCTTGGTTTCTTCTTTTCTAAGGTTACATTGTTCTGTTGTCTTACATAATACACTTAAATAAAAGCCATATTCTTTTATTTATTTGCATTGAGATAATCCAAGTAATCAGGTTACATACATTTTATATTTTGATACTAAGATTAGGTTACTGATTTGTTTACAGGTACAAGTACACAAGTACCTTTTTAAAGTAACCGTCCCAGCTCTGCAACGGCACCAGCTATGTCGAACCTTCAAGTCTCTGCAAGTTGACTTGTAAAGTGTATTTTCTTGAATTATGATCTATCAGTAACTCCACAGCTTATGTTATGTGTACATTCTGGACTAACACGTACAGAACGATGACCCTCTGAAGGTGATGTGGGGAGTTGGACAAAGCTCTATAGTTGTGAGTGAGTGATGCAATGCAGTTCTCTGCAGCAGAGAGCAGCTGACTGCAGGTCAGCTCCAACCTTCAGACCAGGACTATTGTATTTGTCTGAAGGAGACATCAGTGCTGCAGTGCTCATTTCAGTCAGCATTCTTTCCTCTAATCTCTGCATTCTGTTGGAAACCATGGGGAGGGTGGTGCTGTTAGAGAACCAGTGACACATTGGGATTTAGGATGGAACACATTTGGACTTTCAACACTGCTAATAAAAGTTGAAGGCAAACTGTGACATCAAAAATAAGAGTTGATTTCTGAGAACAGAACATCAGCTGACGTGTCTGAGCAAAACATGAGTCTCTTCCTTCTGACCTCTGGTTGGAAGCAGTTTGAATGCAGTAAAATAAGCATGGCACTGTGTTTTTTCTGCAGGAAGAGCAGCGAGCTGGGAGCTTTGAACAAGCTGTATGTGAGCCAAGATTTAGCTTTAGTGAAGCACGAGAGGAAAATGCTGAATCATTCTGCCTCCTTACAGTCCTGGTCTGCTCCCAACTCTCTCAGCATTATGAGACAACAGTGGACATGTCCTTCCCAAACACTGGACACACGTTTATTAGGCATTAAGGAAACCGTATATGTCTAATCATGTCTGCAATTACTGAACATGTAAACATTTGAATTGCACAAGATTGAATACATTGATCATTCGTTTTTTTACAGCACAATCTCATGCAAAAGCAAACTATACTTTATCGAGTGGAGACACACAGCCTGCATACATTAGATTGGATTATGTTATGTCAAGTAACTTTGATTTAAACAAAATACAATTGAAGAAGCCCTGCTGTATTTTCTTGTGAACAAACAAAAGATATGTGTACATTAAGTGTAGGTGGCGTGTAACCCCATAAAACATTTGCAAAGCCAGCATTCAGCGTTTTTCTGTTGTAGTCAAGTGGCTGCATTTTGAATCGGCTCTAACTGGTCATTGAATTTGCTGATGACAAATGCATGGATGTTTCAGAAGAACCGTACACAGATAAAGAGTATTGCCATTTTAGACAGTACCAAGATGGGAAATGATCAAATGGAAGCATTAATATATAAAACAGAAGAGGTCCAATAATGGATCCTTGTGGGATGCCAAACAGCATGTCATATTTACTTAAAACTGTCAAATGAAGCATTGAAAAGGAGGTGATGAGTTATGAACAACTTAAATGCAGTGTCAGATAGATCCACCAAGCTCTCAAGCTTGTATAATAACATGTGATGGTCCTCAAAAACCAACCAATGTTTTTCAGTGGTAATCATCAAGTCATTATCATCATTCCAGTTTATTTTGTGTTGAGAAAGAATTTGTCTTATTCAGCCAAAAAGGCTACATTTTATAATTATTGCTCCTCATGTACCACAAATAATTATGTAGAATTATTTTTAAAATATCTTTCTCTGTGTCTCTTCCAGTCGGACAGTCACACCAGTTTCCTGCGAGCGGCGAGAGCAGGAAACATTGACAAAGTTTTGGAGTTTCTGAAAGGTGGAGTGGACATCGGCACCAGCAATCAGGTAAGAGACACATCACATACAGTCACACACTACACCCACTCACACCTGGCACAATATGGACAAAATGTTTCAGACCCTAAACCCTAAATCTTATATTTTGATGAAAGTGTGGGGAAATGTTAGAGAATGAACATAAAACCAAATAGGAAATACAATACTTTGTACCTTAATTACAATTGGTTGGGTTCAATAAGATGTTTTATTATTTGCCCTCCATTGTCAGTCTACTAGTGTTGGCATATGATTGCAGGATATAGAGGTGTTAATAGTAATATTCATGATGGCTGCAGTTCATTTAGTTCTAACATGCATGCTTCTTACTGGGCTACTTAAAATTAATGCCCTTTTCTGCTTTTGGGGTTGTTCCCTCTCCTGTAGTGTGTTCTACAGGTTGTTGTGGATGTAAATGCTCTGCAAAGGCTACAATCTCTATAATATTCCGAGTCCAAGGGCATAGGTTCAGCAATGAAACAAGTTAAGCTGCCCACGTCAATTGCTGATATTAAACAGTTGTTTGCAGAGATAGGCTGTTAAAACCTTGTTTGGTCTTTCTTAACATATAGGTTTTATGGCTTCAAAACAGTTGCCTATTGAAACATCCAGCAGAGCAACAGAAGCATTCATCTGAGTTGTGTTTGTGTACCTTTCCCATTACACGTCGTCATGCATACTTACAATTCACAGAATTTGTTTTTTATAAGTGCTAATGTGCTTGTGTTGTCTAACACTAATCTTTGTAATATCATCATATGAAAATGGTGTTACATTCCAGCAGGGGGGGGGGGGACTGCGTTATATCAGGGAGAGTTTCTTTATTTAGGCCTAGTTATTATCTCGTCTCCTCCAAGCCATTAGCATTCCATCCTGTAAACAGTCCTGTTGTGGCAACAGCTGTACCGACCAGCCCAGTAAACATAAGTCACATGGAGAGGAAATGTAAGAGTTGCTGGTGGCTCTGTGGTGTGTTAAGCCTATTTGTTACCAACTGATGTGTTACGAAGGCTGTTAGCCTCATCGCCACTCCTGCAATTGAAGATATTTTGAGCTTCTGGTTTATTTGTATTTCTCTCAAAATATAGTTTTGTCCGACTGTAACTCAGATGAAAAGAAAGGCATAAACAGGTTTAGTTATTATCTATGGTGGCCGCCAGGTGCAAACGCGTTACAACGGCAAAACATGACCATTTGTCAAAATTGCGCTGCAGTTTCAAAACGATGCAAATATAAAAACACAAAAGCCAACATATGCAAATAAAGAAACATCTTCACCAACTTGACAACTTTGAAAAACAATCAACACTGTAGCGCGTTTTCACTTATCGGCAAACTTAATTATGATGACTAATAAAATGTAAAAATAAATGTCTTTCATGTTCCTTGACAATCCGCAGAGGATTATTAGTGTCCTTTTATCTGTATCAGTATTTGATTTGCTTTTGTTGCTGGACATGTGAATAGTCAACTCTGGCTGTAGCTATAACTGCTTTATTTCAGTCCATATATCAGATGTTTTATCTATGGTTAGCTAGCTAGCCAAATAGCCTAATATTTTTGCATTTTGCCTGGATGAAATAAAGGAAGCTGATTGGTTTGGAGAAAACTGCACTAATGAGATGCTTTTTTCTCTGAGTCGGCTCCAGCACTGCTAAATTACATTTTCATGGCTTTAAAATCCATAAGTCAATTTGATGATTGGAAATCGTCTCCCAAGTGACTGTTCATGTGGTCTGACAGAATGAGGCGACAGGTTTTATGGATGGAGGAGTGGGCGCACATTGAGAACGATAAAGCGGTTATTGGGTTCCTGGAGGTAAGGGAGGGCATGGGGGGATGTACAAAGATGAATAGTGCCTCTGAGAGTTTTACCAGAAGGTTATTCCCTTAAGATGGGAAGCCGCTAATGTTCCATCATAAAGACATATCATCACATTGTGAGTAATCAACATGCAGAGAATTTGACATGGGTTAAACTCATGGATATTCATGGTTAGGGTGGTTGAAAAGTCCTTTCCTGGCCAAATTGGAAAAATGTGGGGGGGTGAAATTGACTTGTTGTCCAAAAGACAGATTCAGCAGTATTCACATCTGAAATATAGCTGTCTGTTTTTATGGTTGAACAGTGACAGGTGCTACTTCAAACCCTAACCCTGCTGGAGGCTTTTTTCCTGAGATGGAGAACTGAACACCTCAGGGGGGAGGGGGGTTACACTGCTGCCCCACATTTCCCTTACTTTTAATAAAGTTCCTTCTACGTTATCTTTATCTTTTGGAATCACAAGTCACTTTTTTTATGTATATAGGAAGAATTTAGTTTTCTAGGAAAATCACATCAATATTTTGAGTCCAGCACAAAGCTATGATTGGAGCTGTCTGCTTGGTAACACCCGATTTTTAAAACTCTATTGAGACTTGCTGCCTAACGACTTACCATCCAAGGTCAATGCATAACCATCTTGCAAAAGTGTTGTTTATCGTAGAAAACAGCAGTCAATAGAGACAAAACCAGACCTTAATAAATTGCTAATCAAACAGGAAATGTTCGTATTGATTCAGAAGTCTGAAACATGGCTTATGGCCAGACACATTACCTATCCATCAATCAACCAGAGATCTATACCCTTGCTTTCCTCGTCGCTACGCGAAGGACACACAGCCTACTGTGTTAGCACTGTGTTTCAAAATCAGACAGCAAGGCCACAGAACAGGGTCATGCTATAAAACAGGGCCGTCGCCAGAGCAAACCTTCAGAGAGGGCCTGTGATTTTCAACGAAGGGCCCAAAAAAACGTGATGTGCTGAGGCACAAATTAAATACCATTAAAACAGCATGACCAATATAATTGCGTAAAGACACAAGCTGCTCCCAAATGCGCACAAATAAACAGCAACATTCAAACCACCTTTGCAACCGCGCCTTGTGTGTACGGCCGGGAAAACACAGATGATCAACAGCATGCACGAGCATGTGCGAAGAGAAACAAACTCACATGGAAAACATCACAGCAACAGCTTTGCTTGGGTCTTACACTTCAGCCAGCCACAGCAGCAAACAGATACACAATACAGAGCGACCCCCCATGATGCACTAAGCAGCAGAGTATTTTATTAATATGGGAATAGTCAACTCACCGCGTGATGCTAATTAGTCTTTTCTGACGTCCATTATTTGTTGATAACAGAATAGGCAGGCTACAGAATCCAAACTCAGAAGAATTACAGAATACACGGCACTCAAACTTGTTGAGTTATGTGTTCTGAATAGCGATTGGTCTGAACACACATAATTGTAAAACACATTTTATTTGTATGGAGGGCAAATATAGCACATGGGAGGGCCGGGCCTTACCTGACCCCCCCATGGCGCCGGGCCTGCTGTAAAACCTTGGAACATTTCCATTTAAATTAAAATCCACGGAGCACAATCCAAAAACACAACCTTTTCTTCAGTTTTAATGACACACTGGGTAACTGCAGGATAACATGCATACACATGTCAACTGATCCCCAAACAGCATAGCTTGCAAACACATTTCCCCCGTGATGTACAGATGCCCCTTGCCAGCTGTGGAATACCTCTGGGCAAAGAAAAGTGAAACAAAGTTAGATGGGTACCCCTCAGGGAACCTGTGTAGGGACTCTAGTCCAGTGGGCCCATCAGCCTCGGGGGGGCGTGTGATGAAAGTCAGTTCAACAGTGACGGAGGAAATTGCTTATTGACTCAGAGGGTACTTTTTGTGCTACAGCCTAATGCTCTTGCTGCTGCAAAAAGGTTACTCAGTCAGGATGGTTCTCTTAGAAGAGAAAAAGGGCAAATGAGGAAGCAACCCTGCAATCATCGGTATGCTGTTATTGGAGTAGAAGAAGAAGAAGAAGAAGAAGAAGAAGAAGAAGAAGAAGAAGAAGAAGAAGAAGAAGAAGAAGAAGAAGAAGAAGAAGAAGAAGAAGAAGAAGAAGAAGAAGAAGAAGACATACTTTATTCATCCCTTACAGGGACATTTATTTTCCCCACTCTGTTGTGTTTACACACATTACACACACAGGTGAGGATATACATGCATCAACACAGAGGATATATCCATGCAGACACTCAACCACATGCAGATAGGAGAGGTGAACATAATGTTGTGTTTGTCTGGCTTCAAATATCTTCATTTCCATTCTAATGTTAAGGCTGCACTATTCCATTTGATTTAAATGTTGCAGTGAAAACCTTAGAGATAATTATACTCGCCTTTAGGGTCGGACTGGTCATATATGAGATCATTCTTATCTTTGTGCAGGTGAACATTTGCAGCTGTTGTTTAATCACAGAAAAGGAGGATCATTATGGTTGATCTTCCACTTTCCATTCCATCCCTGCCTCCAAGTCTCACAAGTCTTGATGAGCAAATCAGTGGGGGGGTTGGCTTTGCACCCAGTACAGCCCATACCCACAGGACAACATTGTGGAGGATTGTCCTACCTGTGGCTGATGTTCTGTGTACACACATGCACAGGACTGATGTTATGTCCGCATGTATGTAGCGCTCAGTACTTTACAAAACAACCAATGTCTCTGTTACCACGTTCCAGACATGAGACGGTTATACCTATAACCACTGATAGTGAAAGTGTAGGCAGGAAGTGACCCACTGAACTGGTGTCAGTGATCAATACCATTCTGTTCCAAAAAGAAAGCTGGTTCAGTTTGTATTTTCCAAAGGATCTCAAATGCTTATTGTTTCATCCATCACCAGACAATAGCAGACACAGTGTTTGAAGAGTTAAAGGGATCAACACAACAGCTTGACCTGCACACAGACACACACACACACACACACACACACACACACACACACACACACACACACACACACACACACACACACACACACACACACACACACACACACACACACATATACACACACACACACACACACACACACACACACACACACATATACACACACACACGCACACACACACACACACACAGACACACACACACACACACACACACACACACACACACACACACACACACACACACACACACACACACACACACACACACACACACACACACTCACACACACACACACACTCACACACACACACACACTCACACACCTATTTCTATCTCTACTCTGTGACTGGCTCTGCTTCATGCCAGCATTACGTGGCACAACAACTGAGCAACTTTGATATCTAGCGTTGATATTTCAGTCTCAGAGAGGGACAGACGCATGTAGGACAGATGGAAACTGAGATAGAAAGGCAGGCTCCGTTAGCTGTGTTAGAGGAGGTAACTCTTTCTATTTCCATTTGGACCTGTCTTTATTCTTTGTTGATGTTGCGTTTATTGGACTAACTTTGCCTACGTGGTCTTTTTCCAGAATGGTCTCAATGCACTGCACCTGGCAGCCAAGGAGGGCCATGTGGACCTGGTCCAGGAGCTGCTGGAGAGAGGGGCAGCCGTGGACTCTGCCACAAAGGTGGGTGATCTCAGCTTCACACTGAACACACTTCTGTCCATGAATAACAATTGCTTGGTGACATGGTTGATTTGGTTTTCGTGTTTTATCACTTTTTTGTTATGTAATAGTTTCCCAACGCTCAGCTGCTATATAGTCATGTTTAAATTATTTAGAGCTGAATATGTTCCAATATTTAAATGTTTCAGACTTTGTTATTAAAGAGGCCTTATCATGCTTGTTGGGGTTTTCCCTGTTCTGTAGTGTTGTATAGGTTCTGGTGCATGCCCAGCCTGAAGGAGTCCGTTGTTTACTTCCATAATATGATGTCACCATCACTATGGAACACTCACTCTTCTATTGGCTAGCGCTCCAACACATTGTACTTGATAGGCTAAGGGGCGGGACATCTCTAAGTGGTTGACCGATCACAATAGAGCCAGCCAGCTAACCAATCAGAGCAGACTGGGCTCTGGTTTCAGACAGAGGGTGAAAAGAGGTGCCGCAGCACAGGCAGTATGAGAAAAATAAAGAGCTTTAGAACATTAAAGCATGGAGACATGTCACAGTGGAGACAAATTAGACAACTTACGAATGCAGTGCTACTTTGCAACTTTAGTCACAATGACTTATTCTGAAATCAAAAAAATGTGCCACTTAGTGCACCATTACCCTGCGCCATTTTATTTGTGTCAAAAGAATGGATGGAAAGAATTGGCACCTCCCATTGGTTGCATTAGATTGTTAGTGCGCTTTTAAGGTCTTTTTAAGTATATTTATACTCACAAAATAATTAATTTAACGTGAGTGATTGATTGGATGTAGATTGATAAACACAGAGTTTAACATTTTTAAATAATATGATGAGAAGAAGGCAGATCATTGACTGAGGAAAACAAGCTTCTACAGATGACTAAGAGTCTAGAAATAGACGAGAGAGTGCAGCACTAGAAGAAAGTGATATGGATAGTGGACTAGTCACACTAGTAAACATGGAGCTTTGCGTGGTAGTTAACATTCCAACTACTGTAACTAGAGAAGTTCCCCGTACAGATTATAGTTGGAGTTGCACCAAAATACAACTACATGGTACACAACATTTTCACTACAGCAGATTACTGTGAATGTAGGCTGGAATATTCCAGTTATTATATTGAAAAAATGTTCCTTAGGTTAACATAGAAATACTAATAATGCCCCATTTTAGAATCATAAATACCTGCATTTTTATAATTCATTCATTAATGTGTTCATCACACCTGGTAAAGGTTGAGCTAATTTAATGACTTTATGTACTGCTGCTGTATATCTTAACCTATCGTTTTATATCATAGTTTATGTATTTGTTTATTTATATTTTGTATTAGCTTATAATGTGAATATGTAAAGTAACTATTAAATAACGTTGTTAAATAAATATAGAGGAATAAAAAGTACACTATTTCCCTCCAAATGTAATGGAGGAGAAGTATAAAGTAGCAATACTTAAAGGGGACCTATCATGCAAAATGCACTTTTTGATGTCTTTTATACATAAATATGTGTCCCCGGTGTGTCGGGGAACTCACGCAGCGTCAGAAAATAAAACCCTTCCTCTTTTCCTCCATACCCAAATCTTTTAAAAACGGGGGTACAACGAGCGGATACAGATTTGCTGCCGATATGACGTCAAATCGGCGGCGGACCCACAGAAAGTTGCTATCCGAAACCATGCCTGACGTGTTTTGGACGTAATCTCGTCTTTGTTTACATTAGCAAGCCTCGCTAACACTCAGAGCTAACCTGTACTGGAGAGCACATGTGTTTAAAAAGCAGGAAATACAAAAAAGAACTCACCTTGTGATAAACCTGCAAGAGAAAAAGCATTTGAGCTCCATACTGTTTCAGAAATAATCCTTGATGTGGTTTAGAACAGGATGGTGTTTTATCACAGCAGAATTTAACTTTATCTCCGGTAGAATTCTGATCAGGCATTAGCTCCGCCTCCTCTTTTTTTTCTTTTCAAGCTAAGGACCCAAAATCCACGTTTCTCTAACTGGGCTGTAATAGAGGGGTGTGAGCAGTATGAGGCATGGCTACAATGGGTGATCTGTTTGGGATTTGAAGCAAAAAACTTCACAGACATGTTTTGTATGTATGGCCCTACAATATATGTTTGCAATATAGCATAATAGGTCCACTTTAAAGGTCCCCTGTCATGGCAATTTCTACTGATCATAATTCCATTGTTGAGGTCTACTAGAATAGATTTACATTGTTCAATGTTCCAAACTCACATTGGTTTCTCATACAGCATCTCTGTATAGTATGTGTATTCACTCTCTGTCCTAAACGGCTTGTTGGAGCTCCTGCCCCTCCCCTCCCTGTGAGCCCACTGTGCTCTGATTGGTCAGCTCGCCCACTCTGTTCTGATGAGTCCACCACCGTTACAGCGGAACATCAGTGATTATGTGTTACAATGGCGTTAGCAACCAGAAAATGACACCAGTAATGACAAACAGATGAGAATGCTGCGTGGGGTCTGGGTGCCGTGTTGGTGGGACGTTGCGCGGCTCGCTGCTGGAGCGGACAGTGTGAGCTGGGTTCATTTCCTGCTTGCTGCGTGGGGTCTGCGAGACAGCGAGACATCGCGCATGGACGCGGGAAGGGGGGGGGTGCTGGTATTTGGGTATGGTCACGTCACTGTACCCAGGAAGAAAGAGAGAAATGTCCAACGAGGCGTTCTGGGGCAGCATAGACAGGTCTTCTCTGTGTTAGAGTTGTACTCGCTACAGGGTGTACTTTGAGGGTTTGTGACTCTGCAGACCAATTACATGCAGAAAAACCTTCATACAGTAACACACAAGGGGACGGGTAATAACCAGAAAAGCATGACATGGGACCTTTAAGTAAAGTACAAGGACCCAGAATCTTAAAAGGTCTATATTTAAAGGTCACCTATTATTCAAAATCCACTTCTTCATGTCTTTTCTACATAAACATGTGTCCCCTCTGTGTTAAGAGACTCCTAACAGGAACAAAGACCCCCTCTCTTTTTGTCCATCTACTGTATATAAAAACCTGTCTGAAAATGAGCTGATCAGATTTGGTCACTTTATGATGTCACAATGTTTTTCTGGGTTGTGCAAACAAGGTAACACCCGCCCACCTTATCACTTGGATCTCCTCCTAGAGCACCATTGTGTTATTTTTAACCAATCACTTCTCAGAGGGGCGTGGCCAGCAGCAGCTCATTAGCATTTAAAGCTACAAACACCAAGAATCAACACTTTTGGAATAGTGTATAATAGGAGACCTTTAGTTACAGTACTTGAGAAAATGTACTTCAATACATTACACCACTGGAAATATGTATCCTCACTGTCAGTTTATGTGTTCTATTCCAGAAAGGAAACACAGCACTGCACATCTCCTCTCTAGCTGGGCAGGTTGACGTAGTGAAGATCCTGGTCAAACGAGAAGCTGACATCAATTCACAGTCTCAGGTGAGTTCACTGCTCTTAAAGATGCTAAATAAACATCATATGTTCATGTTCTGTAGGTTGTTGTTAACCTCTTGTTTTTGCCTGTGCTGTAGAATGGATTCACTCCTCTGTACATGGCCGCCCAGGAGAACCACATGGAAGTGGTGCGATACCTGCTGGAGAATGGAGGCAACCAGAGCACCGCTACCGAGGTGAGAGGAGTGTGAAAAAAAAACACTATTTGACAATCTGACATTTCATTGCAATCCCTCCTGGAGATGTAGACATTTCACTCTGAACATGTGTTGTTAGTATAGCGCTAGAGGAACACTTATGGGAGCAGTGAGTCATTAGGACACATCATCTGGGAATTGTGATGACAAATGACAACATTTAATGGCACCGAGTGGAAAGTGTAAATTACCATTATTATCAGGGGATCACTGCAAGCCATTAGAATCCATCCTATGCAGACCATAACTGTCTGTACAAAATGTCATGACAATCCATCCAGTATTTGTGGAGACATTTAAGTCCTGACCAAAGTGGTTGACTTGGAAGGTCATAGTGGAACATTGACATTCCTAGAGCTTTGCTTCCAGCATGATCTCTGTTTATCTGCCGTAAGGGAAACTTCCTGTTTCAGGTGTTGTATAGAGACCCTACCATATAGTGTAGAGCAGCCCCTCCCTGTCCTGGTAGGCTTTCAGCTCTGACCATATGAAGGAAGTGCTATAGTAATAAGTATTTTGTTGACCATACCTATCGGAAAACATAAAAGTAAAAGTATATGGCAATAATATCTGACAGAAATAAAGTATTTTCTGGTGAGAGCAGAAGTGTTGAATATAATATAGCTGAGTTGTTGGAGTCAATGCTGTGGAAATGGACAGTATATATTATACTTTTAATTTTGAATCTTTATCTTTATTTTATTTCTATTTTATTCTATTTTTAAGAAATGTTGTAATTCTTGTACATTGACTGTCAAAATGCCGCTGTGACAAAACATTTTCCCAACTTGGGTTTATGTCTATCTATCGCCGTTAGGCTCTACCTACGTTGAGCAAATCGCAAATCATGTGAATGCAGATTAAGTGTGTTGAATTTATTGAACTTAATAAAAGTTTTTTATCCAAGTCAGACGTTTAAAGATAAAACTTTTGAGACTTTACTGAACAAATTAAGAGTTCTTGAAACAAGATATTTCTGATCCCTAACTTGTCCTCTCCCCCCAGGATGGCTTCACCCCCCTGGCCATCGCCCTGCAGCAGGGCCACAACCAGGTGGTCTCTGTCCTGCTGGAGAATGACACTAAAGGCAAGGTGCGCCTGCCTGCTCTGCACATCGCGGCCCGAAAGGACGACACCAAGTCGGCCGCGCTGCTGCTCCAGAACGACCACAACGCCGACGTCCAGTCCAAGGTACGCACAGGGACGCTCTGAGATCCTGGGGGTTGGCATGTGTGGACGTCAAGCTAATGTGGAGCTATTTGTTTGTGCCTATGTATCCATACTGTGGTTATGATGACTTTTATGAGGTTTATGAATTGTATGAGGCTGTAGCTGATTTAATTATTTAGGTATTTCGGGTTCAGAATGTAGAAGGTAGGCGAGTAGGTGGAAAGCTGGCAACATACAATTCAATTGAGGGTGATTTTACAGTCCAATAACGTTGAGATGGAGTTGTGGTAAGGACAGTTCTGCTGCTGATGATGCCGTTAGTGGCTTCAGTGATGAGGTTTCTACCCACAGTGACACTCTGTCCTCCCTAGAGATGATACTCCACCCACCTGCGGTCCTGACATTTCTATACACACATGTAAAGTGTGGGAGAAACAGTTCTGTGTATGGTAATGACAGATCTAAACACAGTGTTGTCTTTCCTGTAGAAGGTTAAGCTGTGTTGGCCGTCAGTGATGACATATCTTTACGACTATGCTGTCCCCTGTTGTAATATGTTTCCATTGACAAAGATATTTAAATGCTAAGTTTCCACTAATGGTATGATGTCTCTGTCCCATGGATGACACTATTCTACCTACAGAGACTGTGTATTTGCAGTGTTTAACCAAGATATCTGAAAGGAATTCCTATCGGAAGCTCTTAGTTGCTATGGCAGATGGGATGTCATTGCACTACAATATTTGAGACAGTTATTAACCCTCCTGTCGTGTTCGTTTCTCCCCCTGACTTAGGTGTTCCCGGCCTTTTGTAACTCTTCTTACATTAACACAAAAAACTTTAATCATCACCTAATTGTATTTATCACCATTTTAAGCTGTAAACAATGTCAAAGACTACTGGTTTACATGAATAACTGCAGTGAATATACAAAGAATAGACACTGAAAATGTATTCCAAAATTAACATGTGGACTTAGGGGTTTGTACTATCTGATGTATACAAATAATCTAGGGTTACCATTCATTTCCTATGGCGGTCATTTTTTAATCATAGGTGTTCAGATCGGTCAGATTTGATCGGAAAACGACAGGACGGTTAGAAGATTTCCCTTATCCAGATACAAAACCCTCATAACACTCACAGCAGGTTTAAATAGGGGACTCTAAATGTATGATAACTATAAGTGTAGAACAGAAGACCACTCAGTATTGGTGATGAAGCTGTTTGTGTGTGTGTGCTCCCATCTGTCTGTCTGTGCTCTTTCTTCCTCCCTCTCTCTCTCGTCAGTGTTTCTGTGCCTGCCACTAACCTGCCCTCTCCCTGTTTCTCTCTCTTCCTCTCTTTAAACGCCACGTCTTAATCCCTCCCCCCATCACCCCCTTCTTCCTCGCTGCACCGGTGTCTAAGTGTAGCCCTGTCCCCTGCATGGAGTGTGCCACTGTCTGCAGGTTGTATGGTGCTGCATGCAACGTATGGGGGGGGGGGGGGGAAGTTGTATTTAATATTGCTTTTTTTTACCATTGGCAATAGATGGGATATATGATATAATATTGGTGTAAATTCAAAGTTAACTGTTGATGTCAAACACTTAATTGTAACTGTACCACTGTAACGGGATACCAGTGACGTGGCTAGAGGGACGATGATTAACTGCACCACACAAATGTTTACTGAATGTTATTTATTCAGTCTATTCTGCATATTTAAAAAAGCACCAATGATGTTGTTATGTAACAAAACACTGTGGGGGCATCACAGGGTAATGCATGCATTTAGTATAATGCCTTTTGTGGTTTAGCTGTGATGCAGTCCTGCTCAATATGACTCACAGTAGGGCCCAGAGGGGAGGGCTATAAACAGCGTTATGTACAGTCACGATCAACACATGTACACACAAGAGACACACTGCTGTCACACAGAGGGCACACTTATATTTACAAACTGGAAAAAAGCAGTTGAGTTATAGCCATCTGTAACCAAATCCATGGATTAAGATAAGATAAGATCAAGCATTTCCCAAATTGGGATCAATAAAGTACATCTTATCTTATCTCATCATCTGACTGCTTGTGTTTCTCGGTCCAACTACTCTGTATCACCGCTGATTGTTCCTGAGCTCTCAGGCACTGCTCAGTGCAGTCAAATGTTAGCATACACCAAAGCTGCACACAAGAGCAGCATTGATATAAAGCAGATTATTTGTTCAAACTGAATAAATGAAACGCCTCCTAGCCTCGTCACCTGTCAGGGTCTGAGCACAGCTGCTGCAGAGGGTGATGTGTTCAACAAGTCTAACTGAGCTGATGTTTCCCTCCCTGCTTCCTCCTGCTTCAGATGATGGTCAATAGGACTACTGAGGTACACACGCTCCTCTGACTCTCCACAGATTCACTGTACTGTCCCATTCCATTGTTTTTCCTTACTTTCCCTCCATCCTTTATTTATTTCACAGCACTGCATGGTATAATATAATGAAGTATCCAAAGTTTCTGTTGATTTAATAACTGGTCAACATGCATGGCTTACACAAAAGGCCGATCTACTGTATAGTGTTGTGCACGCAGGCACTGCACAATTTGTTTATACCCTGTCTTCATACACTTTCTTTTTTTCTCCCAAGTTTATACCTAATTTGTCACCAACTCAGGAAGCCAGTTTGTTTTTGTCATATCCAACCCTCATTATATTTAAAAATACCTCTTATCATTATTACTAAGATGCAAGGTTTGTTGAATTATTTGAATGATTATGTTCATTTCCTGCAATGTTTTGATTTGATGAATTCTGTGTTGATACATTTGTGTGACAGCTGTGAATGTATATCGTCCACTCTGTCTGAACTGTCAATCCTGTCCTGTTGCATGATTTATACAGATGCACTATGAACTGCTTGGGTTCAAACTGTATTGGTTCAATTAGAGCATACGATGCTTATGTATGGAAGCCAAGTGCCGACAAAATACGAATAAAATAATTTAATCAAATTTAAATTAACATTTCTATTTGTGTGCCCATAAGGAAATTGCCAATAATCAACATTTGTCAGTCTACTTCAAAGCATAACACTGCACAATTGATATTATAAATTGGTAGATCATGTGAAAAATACAAATAATAAATAATGTTGAGTATTTTGTTGACTTTACAGAGAAAAAGCCTTCAAAACCAACTTACATGATCGGCCATTTTGAAAGATTAAGATGAATGTTTTTTCCTTCATTTTAATGTTCAATTAACAGTAAATATACATTTTTCAACATTTTTCTGACATCCCTAATGCTCACACAAATTGAAAGGATGAAATTATTTTTATTTGAATAATGCCAGTCCCAGTCTACTATGAAACCTCCCGATTTTAAAAAGGACTTGGCATAGAATAGCATGTTGCATCCACGCTACCTTCATTTGCACCATTGAAGCTTTTGAATGTGTAAAGTTTGAAACCATCACGTTAGCCACTGTGTTCTTCACACTTTTGTAAACAACTTTTTCACATTAAATCGGACCACACTTACAGAATGGAAAGGTAAGGCAAGAATCTCACAACTACTCCAACCTGCTCTGCAATCTCTAACTTTCCTCATGATATATTCCTCATTTCTAATTCTTACACTTCTATGAACTACAGTTCACATAGTGCACTTTGGTGTTACTCAGAAATATGCCCTTCATGTTATGTGCAACTTTATGAGTTTACTATCATTTGGTGTTGTTAGGTTAGTATTGTCTGTCCATCTTCATGTCAATCTGGATGACTCTGTGTATACTGTACATTTATTTGTTCTGTTTCAGTTCTCTTTTCATTTCAAAACCTTTTTGTGAAGCCTATGAAAGGCCTTTCTTCTCTTTTGTTTTTGTGGTTGATAACCTGCATGGAAGTGATGTTTCTGAGTGTGTTTTAGGGGTTGTGTGTATGGGTACTAGATATTAGGAATTATTTTCAAAATAATTGATTTTTTCCTGTAACTTTCTTTACATTTTCTTTGTTTCAGTTTTGTTTTTGTTCACCTGTGATGCTTGATGCAACTGCTGCATGCTGGGAAGACTAAAGTTCAAGGACTTAACTAAATCGAGGCTAATTCAAACTCTTGTCCTCCTATATGTGTGTCTGCCTCTTTCCTGTCTGTCTTCCAGAGTGGATTCACCCCCCTGCATATCGCTGCCCACTATGGCAACGTGAATGTGGCCACACTGCTTCTGAACCGAGGGGCAGCCGTGGACTTCACGGCAAGGGTAGGAGTTTATGAAAAAAGCACTGTTATGTTGGTGTGATAAGTACAGTGGCCGACAGGTGCAAACACGCTACAATGTCCTAAAACACTTCCATTGGGAGAAACGCACACATACAAAGGAAGAAACCAATTGACAACAAATGAACATGTTTTACTAAAAGCTCTGCATTAACCAAAGCTCTGCATTAACCAAAGCTCTGCATTAACCAACTGTCACTGTTGTTCGAAACTTGCCTAAAATGTTTTATTGGCTTATTTTAACAATTTGTCAACAAATGATTCCTTCAGCTATTATAGCAGATCTGCTGTAAGCTAGCTAGCTAACCATGGGTGCGTTTCACTTCGGTTAAATGGATTCCTTGCGTCCCTCACTTGCGTCGTTTCCCTGCGTTTAGTCCCTCCCACCAGGGAAGCATGGAGAGAGGCAAGGAAACCACGAGAAGCAGGGAAATGAGTTTTAAGAGCAATGGGACGTCCTTTCCTCCGGAGTGTCACGTGAAGCGACGTCCGTTTGTGATACCGAGCCCGAGGAGCGAGGAAATGAAAAATAAGAGAAGTGAAACGCACCCCTAGTCATTTCAGATATACTGACACACACTTACAGTTATGAAACAGACTAACAGAGACAGTTGTCCAGCTTTATAATCCTGAACGTCACCAAGCGCTCCGGTCCCAGCTGTGTGCGTCACTTTTTAGTGTCCCCTGGTCTCCGTTTTGTTTTGAGCTTCTTGAGTTATTAGCGGTTCGTTTATGCAGCGCTTTTAGTAAACCCTGTGCATGAGTTGTCAAGTTGGTGAAGATTTTTTCTTCACATAAATGTGCTTGGGCACATTTGTTTTTTAATATTGTAATTGTTTCTGAAGCTGCAGTGTGTATCTACTGATGGAAATGTCTTGGGCCGTTGTAACGCATTTGCACCTGTTGGCCAACATAGATAAGGGCTTCTACCAGTACTCTAAATTACATAGTATTGTTGGCAACTTATTCACTTAGTTATTACTACTGACAGTTTGCATGACCAAAGCAATGTGTGCTTGTCCCACCGAACCCCTGCTATGTTTATAGCATACACAGTTATATTTCAGTCCTTTCTGATGATTATTTTGTCAATTTAATATTACCCAGAAAAGACAGATGTCCTATTTTTAGTCATGCAAGCAGCAGTGTGGATAAAAATAGCTTTTTTTCTCACCCTGCACTTTCTTAAGACTCATGGGAATGCTTGTGTGGCTGAAAAGGAGGTTGCCAAACATTTGAAAGCCTATGTTATTAAAAGGTTTTGGACAAAACGTCATCCTCTTTCAGTGTAAGTAATACCATCCTTCAGTCTGATGGTAGATCGAACACAGTGACGTGCGGTGAGGTTCATGGCTGGTGAGGCACTGACTCACTGAGTCAGATTTACAAATATTATATTTTGACATTAATCGAAATATTCGGTTATTTTCAAAAGCTTTTTTAGTCTGATGCTTGGATTCATTTTAAACAGACCGTTCAACAAAAGGATACCCAAAATCTAAATATTGGATTGTTCTTTCTTAGTAAGATCCCATTTTCATTAGAAATGTGGTCTTACCTTGACTTGAAGATGAAGTCCATGCTATCCTTCTGGACAACAATCTCTATTACTTTTTTGTAAAAGTCCTCCTTATCTTCCTGTAGTTTCAAAAGTCTAGTTTGTTGTTACGTCTACCGTCTCTGCGTAGAATTACAGTAGCAACAAGAACCTGTGGGCTCACGTGCGCCCCCTTCAGTGCGGCAGAGGTTATGGCTGCCTCCCCTGGTGCATTTTCATTGCCGTTGAGACCAGCGAGCCTAAATATCATATATACGTGAAATAAGTTATTTAGAGACTATGGATGGCAAGGATAAATGTAATAAAGGGATCTACAAACATTACATGTGTGACCTACAGTGAGATGGTAACAGGCATGCGCTTAGGGCCCGCTTTCCAGCCAGTTTCTGTGGGGTGACGCATTCTGAGGTGAGGCAGATCTCATCTGTGCCTCACCTCACCCCACAGTAACTGGCTTGAGCGCGCTCACAAAATAAGTGGCCGCGCTAAATTAGTGCCCGCGCTCCAGCAAGTTACTGTGGGCTTACGAGAGGCAGAGCACGTCCCTGCCTCACTTGTCATCGCTCCCGTAGCGGAGCTCGGCAAATTTGCTGATTTTGACTATAAAAACCGATTGGAATCATACATAAATCACACGTACAACACAGATCCGACATAATCAGTGTATAACACAGGAACACTTCAAGACAAGACACAGTTATTATGCATTCTTAAATTTAAGTTTGAAACTTGAACTTGTTCTCCTGTAGAATGGGATTATTCCTCTACATGTGGCATCCAAGCGGGGCAACACTAACATGGTGGGCCTGCTACTGGACCGCGGCTCTCAGATTGATTCTAAAACAAGGGTGAGTATCATGAGAAGCCAAACTATTGTAATCTTATTTTTCTGTTTATTGTAGATTGACTATCCTGATAAAAAAGGGAACTTATTTGAAGGCCGCTTAATTCTTTGTCGAATCTTTCTTCTCTACATCCACAGGAGTATACAAATAACCAGCTCTCATTATTTTTTCTCCATTAGTAAGAACAGATGTTAATATGAGCTTTAAGCTGTTTTTAGTTCAGCTCAGTGGATTAAATGCAGTATCACAGTGGCCATCCTAAACCTCTGCTTGTTGTTATTTTTGTTGTGTGTTAGCTAGCACAACAGGCATGTAATTAGCCATGTATGATTCTCGCCAATACAAACAACATCTGGCTTGGGCGAGTCTCTGGCTACACCTGCCAGTCGGACGCTTTACCTCGACTGACATAACAAACTTTTTTAGAAAAGGAATTCTGCATGTTGAAAAGGACATCAGTAAAGAGTTGTTCTTTAAGTTTTAGCCAAATCAGTTTCAGTATGTATTAAATGTCTAAAACTATAGTCTGGTGTTGATGTGTCCTGTAGGACGGTCTGACCCCCCTTCACTGTGCGGCCCGGAGTGGACATGAGATAGCTGTGGAGCTGCTGCTGGAGAAAGGAGCCCCCATGCTGGCCCGGACCAAGGTGTGTCTCATGTCCCTGCACCTGTTTACAGTCTCAAGGACACGGCACGTTTCTTAGTAATTTTTTAAAACTGAGTCCTATAACATGATTAACATATTATAAGTAGTGAATCACCGCCTCAAAGTAAAAAATATTATCATAAGGTTACAAAATGATTCAGTACACATTGTTTAACCTGTTACGCACCATCGTAAACGTGTCATTTGCAGGAAACAACGTCTAAGGAATCTTAATATTTAATAAAACTATGAATGTTTTATATCCATGTGACGGGAAGAAACTCAGCTAACTGATCTTTTTAATTTTTTTTTCCAAAAAAAACCCACAATGCTAACACTCAGCCTCTGAATTAGCCACGAGCAAAAAAATGTAACCTAAAACGGCACTTAAACTCACAATAACTCCCTTATTACTTATCCTAGATGCACAGCCAACCACTCGTTTTTGGTGTCCTGGAGACACTGAATCTAGTGGTGCCCACCTCAACACTCAGTGATAAACATTTGCGACGCTATAAACGAAAGCGTACATCTTTAACATGTGGAGCTAGGTAGCTAGAAACGCTAACATGGCTTACCTTGGTCAAAACTGGTCTTCAATGGCATTAAAACGATAAAAAAACGATGCTGCAGTTAATCCATAGGTTAATCCAATGTGTCTGTGTCCTCTTTGAAATGATTTCTGATAATCCATAAGCAATAAAACTGCTTTTTCGTCTCCAAATGTCAGAGTGAGAGATCGCTTCACTCTGCTCCACATTTACATGCGCGCAGCCCCCACCTTTTCTCTTCACAACGTGTGTGTGTGGGAGCCTCCCCCTTCGATTCTATTGGCTCTAACGGTCAGAAAGAGGTGTCAACCATCCAAATCGACCAAGGGGGGCCAGAGATATGGGAAAAAAAACATTTTCACCCAAATCACCTCAAAGGTGGGGTGGTTTTGGCTAAACCTCTCTAAAAAGGTCAAATGTCACTTGTTTTGCATCAATCTTGATACAGGGTACTTATTATATGTTGTACTTTGGATTCCTAAAGCTTTTAGTCTACTAACCCATCATCCAAGGGTAGTTTTCACGATCTGTAAAAAATAAATTTTGGACGGACACTATAATTTACAGTTTTTTACTATGTAAAATCTGAATTTTCTTTAAAATAAAAAACATTTATATTGATTCTGACACTTCTACATCCAACTCACAGATGTAACCTTGCTTTGATAAAAGAAATTATTCATATAACCCTTTTAGAAGTTAAGTTGTAGTCATTTGTTTTGGGCATGTCATTTTCGAGCCTGAAACATGAAAAACAGGCTTGGTGCTTAAAGACTGTATCAGAATGTGGATTTAGGTCAACAACTCAAATAAAATACTAATTTCACCGGAACAGATGAGACATTTGATAGCAATCCCTCTACTATATATATTCAATAAAAAATGTTGTGTGTGTGTTTATGTATTTATTTGAGATTAAAGGTGTAACTATAATTAATTTTTTAGTATTAGCATGTTGCTAGCTAACGAAAAACAACGTATACGTAAGGCAACTTAGAAGATTGTCTAAACTAGCACACACTTTCTCTGCTTCCAGTCTATGTAAGTTAGGCTAAAAATAAGCAATATCAATCTTTGTATTTTATCAATGATTTCAGATTTTGGGCAAGATTGCATTATAGGCGTAAAATACTTTCATCGCATAAATGAAAAAAAAAAGGTTCAAAAGATGTATGAATCCAATTTGAACATCACGGAGATGGCTGGAGATTTGCTTATGCTAACCTGTTAGCTAGCAGTTGCCCTATTTACACACCAGGCAGACACAGAGCAACTTTCGTGTTTGTGTCTTCCTGACAAATGTAAGTGAAATGTTCACTCTTCTACAGCTCTGTTTTGATTTCCACCTTATCCTAAGAAAAACATGTCAGGCTCTTGAGCTGCTAATGCTACATGTTCCACTTTCCACACCTATTTGCTAACTAGGTACACTCACACTCTTAAACTGTTCATGAGAAGACTCTGAAAGCAATCATGGTTGCATGTGCCCCCGACAAATAAGTAGTGTTTTATTAGCAGAACACAGCCTCAATTCTTCTTTGGAAAAAGTCCCCTGCCACTCTTTATCTCCATCAAACCAAATGACCTCTCTTTCACATTTAGAACGGGCTGTCTCCTCTTCACATGGCGGCACAAGGCGACCATGTGGAATGTGTCAAACACCTTCTGCAGCACAAGGCTCCGGTTGATGATGTCACGTTGGACTACCTGACAGCGCTGCATGTGGCCGCTCACTGCGGTCACTACAAAGTCACCAAGCTGCTGCTGGACAAGAGGGCCAACCCCAACGCCAGGGCCCTGGTAGGGAACAAGGAAACGAACGAAAGATACAAAGCAGAAGGACGATTAGTCAACATTGAACTATTGTCTAAGTTTATCCTTAACTGTGCGTGTTTATGCCACTCAACAGAACGGCTTCACTCCGCTGCACATAGCCTGTAAGAAGAACCGAGTGAAGGTGATGGAACTGCTGGTCAAATATGGAGCCTCTATTCAGGCCATTACAGAGGTAGGTCTCACGTTTGACTGAAACTGAATTCAGCGTCAGGGTCTGGTTTAGGTATTTATTTTGTATTCATAGTCATTCCAGAGAGGAGCCCTGAATGGAAGTAGATACAGGAGGTTAATGATAGTTTAGGTTTAGTTCTGTAATTGTTGACAATATGTCATATTAATATAAGGAACAACACTTTCAGAATAAGTATGAAATCAATTTTAAAGTGTATGTGGAAGCTTTTGCTGGAGTAGTGGGTTATCATAAACATAATCCAGCAAATAATGTGCACAGAGGAACCAACTGATGCTGTCCTGTACCTGAACTGTCCTTTACCTGAACTGTCCTGTACCTGAACAGTCCTGTACCTGAACTGTCCTGTACCTGAACTGTCCTGTACCTGAACAGTCATGTACCTGAACTGTCCTGTACCTGAACTGTCCTGTACATGAACAGTCCTGTACCTGAACTGTCCTGTACCTGAACTGTCTTGTACCTGAACTGTCCTGTACCTGAACAGTCCTGTACCTGAACTGTCCTGTATCTGAACTGTCCTGTACCTGAACTGTCCTGTACCTGAACTGTCCTGTACCTGAACTGTCCTGTACCTGAACTGTCCTGTACCTGAACTGTCCTGTACCTGAACTGTCCTGTACCTGAACTGTCCTGTACCTAAACTGTCCTGTACCTGAACTGTCCTGTACCTGAACTGTCCTGTACCTAAACTGTCCTGTACCTGAACTGACCAATGACTTGCCAATCAACATAATGTTGTCAGGCCATTGCTTTGGTTGAAGCGTGCAGTCAGCTCTTAATGTATAGGCTTTTAAATATTGTTTCATAGCTGAATTGCTGTCTATGCTCTAAGGAGAGTATCTGGTCAGAAATTGCCATCATGTAGCTCTTTATAAAAGGTTTGATGATCTCTCCTTGAGTTATACAAAATGTACATTTAAAACTGTTGTTCCTCTTTGTCGTCCCTTCCCAGTCTGGTTTGACTCCGATCCACGTGGCAGCCTTCATGGGTCACCTGAACATCGTCCTGCTGCTGCTGCAGAACGGAGCCTCGCCCGACGTCAGCAACATTGTGAGTGACGGGAAACAAGCCAATCACAGGGAGGGATAGTCTTTGAAATGAGTTATTTTTGACTGATAATCTCAATATTTTACTGTGACGACTACTGTACTGCAGTGACAGTTACATATATTGGTGTTGACTCTGCTGACCCATATCTTCCTGTGGGCACAGCGAGGGGAAACAGCGTTACACATGGCAGCCAGGGCGGGTCAGGTGGAGGTGGTCCGGTGTCTGCTGAGGAACGGAGCTATGGTGGACGCCAGGGCACGGGTGAGACTGCAGACATCTACAGTAACACACAAAGGAACACGTTACCACCATGCAAAATAAGATAACATTATTTTTGTATTCCTTTGTCAGGAGGACCAGACTCCGCTCCACATTGCCTCTCGTTTGGGGAAAACAGAGATTGTTCAGCTGCTGCTGCAACACATGGCTCATCCTGATGCTGCCACAACCAACGGCTACACCCCCCTCCACATCTCCTCCAGGGAGGGGCAGGTGGAGACAGCCTCTGTGCTGCTGGAGGCTGGAGCTTCACACTCACTGGCCACCAAGGTGGGTTTGGAAGAGATGTTTTATCTTTAATGTAAATTCTCGCACACAGGGCATTCAGGAATTCGTTCTCTCCACTAGGCGTAATCCTGTGGGGAAATCGTGCTTTGGGTTATGTGTGTGTATGTGGGTGTCTGTTTGTTTATCCACGGCAAATCTCCACTATAACTGAATCCATCAGCCTAATAGTTTGTGTGCTCATGTACAGTATGACTGATGTGATTGCAGTGGTTCACAATGATTGGGGGCAAAAGGTTTTGTTTTATTGACTTTTTGATACTGTATTGGCTGTAAAAGAGCCCTGAGGCACGATTGACCAGGTATTCCTTTTTTAGTTTGGAAAAAAGGAATACCTGGTCAAATCTCAATCTCAAAATTGAGATTTCAGGTCTTTGTAGATTGAGACCTGAAAAGATCTCAATCTACAAAGTGCTCTTTTTGAGGTATTTTGTTATTGACTTCAGAGATAAAGACAGTCATGCCTCCCACATATGTGGAATACACTTATTATGAGAACTACATAGCAATCCAGCTGAGGTCAGAGCATTGTTAGCCTAGCTTAGCATAAAGACTGCTTACAGGGGGAAACAGCTTAGTTTTGTCTGAAGTAAAAAATAGACAACAGCATAATTAAAAATCACACAATGTGGATAGTTATTTTCAGGATTTATGATATTAAGCATATTTTGATGATTTTCTGGATAAAATCATGAATCGCATAAATTAGGCTGGGGGAAACATTACATAATTTGTACATATTGTCTTATGCCTATTTGCCACAACAATATATGTGATTGAAATATTTTTAAATAATATATGTAATGCTTAATATTCCATAAAAGATACATAAAGTGCAATACAGTAAGTGCCAGATGTACAGAGGAAGGATCACATAAATAGGTTACAGTGTTACTGTATGAGCAGGTCCCTGTTTGACCCACTTTTGATGAAATATTGATAAAGCTGTAAATCTGCTGCCTCCCTCTGAATTGTGCATGAAGCCTGAACGCAGTCAAGTGATTTATCATCGTCCCTCTGTAGGTGTGTTAGCAGACCAGGCTGGATCCCACTCAGAACTAGTCTAGATGAGTCCACCATTTAGAGTGAGACAAAAGACTTTAGTATATCAATCAGGGTGTAGTGGTTGAACCCATTGATGTCTGTCTCCTTGGTGTCTCTCTGGGACAAAGGGTGTGGCTGTCGCTATGTAAACTAAATTGTAAGAAAATGTTTTTAATGCAAGGGAAACATCTCCATTAACTCTCTGTCCATCCCAGCATGGTAATATTAGTCCTTATCCTTGATTTTCTTCGACCACTGTTTTATTTCCCCCCGACTATTAATAACCCTGTCCCCTCTCCTCCATCCCTCTTCGCTCTATTTCTTCGTCCGTTTTAGTCCAATCACCCATTACATCAGATATAATCCGGGTTTGACAAACAAAGGATTGCTCCCTCCATGGGCAGGGCCGTAAACACTGGTCATGTGCTTTCTCTCAGCTTCACAGTTCATCTGGATTTTAAAATAGCCAAAGTGCTCCCTCTGCTGGTTTTCCTGTGAATGTTCAAGCTTCAAGGTTCAAGGTTCTTTATTTAGTCATACGAACATAGCTACAGTGTAGTTATGCCGATGAAAATCTTGTGTCACAGGCTTCTCCAACAGAGCAACACAAAACACAGATAAACAGAAAAAATATAGTGCAAGTAAATAGTAATACAAAAAGAAAAATAGATTTAAAAAAGTGAAATAGTGAAAGAGTGCAATAAGAGTCTATATGCAAGTTATTGAGATAGAATATATAGGTAAATAGATAAATAATTTTAAAATAATTTCTAAGTAGCAGCCAGATGAATGTTATGGATGTTGTTTCAACAGTTCAGGTGTTTAACAGTCTTATTGCCTATGGGATGAAACTGTCCCTGAGTCTGGTGGTTTTAGTCCTGATGCTATGGTAACGTAGCAGACAGAACAGTTTGTGGCTGGGGTGATGGGGGTCTTTGATAATCCTGAGGGCTTTCTTCCTGAGGCGCTGGGAGTAAAGGTCCTCCATGGATGGCAGCTCTGTCCTGGTGATGTTCTGTGCAGTTCTCACCACCCTCTGTAAAGCCTTACGATTGCTAAAATCTCAGGTGCCGAATGGTCCCACAGAATGGTAAATAGTAGTATGTATGGACATGTGTTAATATAAAGAAAGTGTAAACATAATAAAATAATGAAACTGTATTTTTTGGGCCTCATCAATTATTCTTATAGCATAGTTATATGGCTGAGTTTGGTCTATATAAGAAAAGCAATGCATGTGTCTTACAGTATTCAACTAAGACACATATTGTATGTAGCGGTCTTACTTGGAATGATGTTACATTATGAAAACCTGTGTAGAGATATTCTGTCTCTAAACACATGTATTCTCCTCTGACTACCTCTCCACAGAAAGGGTTCACTCCCCTGCACGTGGCCTCCAAGTACGGAAGCCTAGATGTGGCCAAACTTCTGCTGCAGCGCTGCGCTCCGCCCGATTCTGCTGGGAAGGTATGCATCCACAATAAAAACCTTCTTGATATGACTTTATGATCTATGAGATGAGAAATAATGTCTACTTTTCCTGCATGCACATATTCAAAGTTTTAAATCAATGTTTCTGTATTGAGGTTAAATGGACTCTAAGAGCACCGGTAAGCCTAGTTAGAATAATGCTTCCTTTATTTGGATTCACTTTTATTCATTCCAGAAAACATAAAACCAATAACAGAAGCCTTTTAAACATCAGGATTTCTTTCTTTTTTTCTTTGAATATGTTCATAATAACAGCCACTCAGTAACCCTTGCAGCATTTACTGTCTAATATAACTCAAATGAATGTACCCCTGCAGTCTTATCCCCTTTAACTCTCCATATGAATGTGTGTGTGTGTGTGTGTGTGTGTGTGGAGTTAATGGCCTAATGCTGCACTAACTGCTGCGCTCACCACCCTCTCACAGAACGGCCTCACTCCGCTCCATGTCGCAGCACATTACGATAACCAGACGGTGGCGCTCCTGCTATTGGACAAAGGAGCGTCCCCTCACACCATGGCCAAGGTGAGAGTCCACAGTAAAGAGCCCTCTGGACACTCTGCAGGACACATTAGGAGGCTGAGTGGAGAGAGACAGTTTAGCCAAAGGGTAACAATTCTTTTAGGACGGGCCTCAAACTCACACCCTTTTCTCGCTCAGTTCTGATCAGGAAGAGGTCATATTGAAGCTTGGCGACCTAACAGTACACTTTGGTCAATCTTTTTATTTGTTTGCATCTTATTGGAAGACAAATCCTGTTAAAAGTCCCATCCTCTATTTTAATCTTTCAATTCTACCCAGACCTATAACAGCTATATTTTCTCTTTCTTGAATTTAGGGTTCAAAACCAAATAATACTTCTATATACTGTATATAGTATTTATATAATAATTGATTATGTTGTGGATATTATTCAAATAGTATGTTGTTATTTATAACTTTTGTGAAGAGACTTTATATCTTATGTGTACCTCTGTAAATCATCTTTGAGCATCTGATAAAGCGCTTGATCAATAAAATGCATTATTAGATATAGTATATATGATTTATTTTCCAAAATCAAGGATTACTTGGTCAAACCACTGGTCAGTGTAGTTTTCATTACGCTTGACTAAAACAGGAAAAACAGTGTTGAGGAAAATGTTGAGTCAATATGATAGTAGAAGAAGAGGAACCTTTATGAATCCTCCTAGGGGGAAACTCCGTTTTTCAGTATGTGTGTTTATGCTGAAAAATATACTTTTATCTTATTAGTTTTCTGTGAACAAGACAACATCAAATAGTCTAATTTCCTCCGTGACACTCGTTCCTCCCCCCCCCCTCTTCCTGAATCAGAACGGATACACTCCTCTCCACATCGCCGCTAAGAAGAACCAGATGGAGATCGCCACGGTGCTGCTGCAGTACGGAGCGGACACCAACATCCTGACCAAGCAGGGGGTCACCCCGCTGCACCTGGCCTCTCAGGAGGGCCACGCCCACATGGCTGCCCTGCTCATCAGCAAGGGGGGGCAGGGCAACGTGCAGACTAAGGTACTGACAACAATAAGTCATTTCTCAAAATAATCCTCAACATAAAACAACATCGCAAGTAATGAAATCTGAACCGAACCTGCTGTTTTTAGGACAAAGCGTTCATTAGCTTATTTTAAGAGGAGCAGAGTGCTGTGAATGTGTCCGTCTGAATATATGAACTGTTCCGTGTGTTCCTCCTGCAGAGCGGCCTGACGGCCCTCCATCTGGCCGCCCAGGAGGACAGAGTGTCTGTTGCAGAGACCCTGGCCAGAAACGGAGCCAACCTCGACCAGCAGACCAAAGTAGGAACATTCATTTGCATTTTCTGCATGTATAACTCAGCCATCTCCCATTCTGCTCAAATGATCAACAGTATTTTTACCAAGTCTCTCCAGAAATGTATTTTTTTTAAATTATTCTTAATAGGGACATTTTTGCTCTTGTTTTGCAGTTGGGATATACCCCGCTAATTGTAGCATGTCACTATGGTAACGCAAAGATGGTCAACTTCCTGCTTCAGAATGGAGCCAGTGTCAACGCCAAGACCAAGGTACTGAACCTACACCTCTATTATCTGAGCTACATGTATTCATATGTATGCTGTTGTTGTGTTCCACTGTTATTACTTCTAGCATGCTGTTACTTCATTTACATCCACAAGGAAGTGTTCTCATCATACCAAATCTTTTGATCATAATAACCATATATTGTAATGTCAAATGAGTTGTTTTCCTCATATTGCTACACACCACATGTATCTCTGGTTATTTCAGAAATGTCTCTTGTTGCTATCGTTAACCTTGGGTTACTTTTCATTCAAACTTCACTTGTTATTATATTGAGGCTGGAACATACTGTATAGAGACTAGAGTGTTGTTATAATGATGCAAACCTTCATCTGTTTATTTCCCCAGGATCCTTTTATTTCACAAACAACCCATTTGTATCAGCGACCTTGAAGTTAAACATCTGTTAGAATCAAAACAAACTATGATTCATGTTTTATAAAAACGATTCAGATTTTTTGATTTATTTTCTGTATTCCTTCCTTTTCAGAATGGATACACTCCTCTCCACCAGGCGGCCCAGCAGGGGAACACACACATCATCAATGTGCTGCTGCAAGGTGGAGCCAAGCCCAACGCCATCACTGTCGTAAGTGAACACACACACACCAGGAGGAACCTCACAGTGAACACACACACACACACACACACACCAGGAGGAACCTCACAGTGAACACACACACACACACACACACACACACACACACACACACACACCAGGAGGAACCTCACAGTGAACACACACACACACACACCAGGAGGAACCTCACAGTGAACACACACACACCAGGAGGAACCTCACAGTGAACACACACACACACACACCAGGAGGAACCTCACAGTGAACACACACACACCTCAGGAGGAACCTCACAGAGAATACACACACACCAGGAGGAACCTCACAGTGAACACACACACACCAGGAGGAACCTCACAGAGAACACACACACACCAGGAGGAACCTCACAGTGAACACACACACACCAGGAGGAACCTCACAGAGAACACACACACCTCAGGATGAACCTCACAGTGAACACACACACACCTCAGGATGAACCTCACAGAGAACACACACACACACCAGGAGGAACCTCACAGAGAATACACACACCTCAGGAGGAACCTCACAGTGAACACACACACACCTCAGGAGGAACCTCACAGTGAACACACACACCTCATCCACTGTGCCTTGTTCTGCAGAATGGTAACACTGCTCTGGGGATCGCTCGGAGGCTGGGCTACATCTCTGTGGTGGATACGCTGAGGGTCGTCACCGAGGAGATCATCACCACCACAACGGTACGTCACACACACACACACACACACACACACACACACACACACACACACACACACACACACACACACACACACACACACACTAACTCTTAAATGGTCTCTGTATCCTGGGAGAAACAGGCTGTACGAGGAAAGGCATTAAGTGGGTGAACTTTATATCATGAGAAACACTGAAGGGGGTTGGGTCATTTTGGAAATAATACCACATTTATCCATTTCAACAGAACAAGGTGAAGTGTATACTGTAAGTGATAAAACACCCACCTTACTCAATGACATGCAATTCACAAAGCTAACAAAAGCAGACAAACCGTATAGGAGGCTTGGCTGTTTCCTGTGGTTGGGATCATTTCACTTATCAAGATCTTTTTTAAATGACCAACCAAAACTGTAACGTGCCATAATCATGTGTTATCACTTTTAAACTGAATGCCAAGGACGTTAAGTTATATGTCTTTAATCACAGTTTCAACACTTTTTAAATGGCTATATTTGATGTGAAGCAGATAAAGTTTAAGCTATTACATTTTTCAACTACAGCATCTGAAATGACAATACAGTGTAATCTCTCTAAATAGTTTAAACAACCACCAATTACAACATTCAGGCAGTAGGATTTAGGACTGTTGTTGTTCCACTGCTTCCAGCTGGGTTGAGCTAACAACGGTGTGAAGTGTGAGTAACGTTCCTCTTGCTCTCCTGCTGCAGACGGTGACGGAGAAACACAAGCTGAACGTTCCGGAGACCATGACTGAAGTGCTGGATGTGTCCGATGAAGAGGGTGAGTCATGTTGTACAGAGCATTTGATTTTTAGCCAATACTATAAAATGCGTTTTATTATGAATTTTATTTTAGAGCTATACATGAGTGTATTTAATTGTACAGTGCTATGAGTACATTATACCACACGTACATATGTGTATAATGCATTATAGACATAGGCGTAAAGGAGAAAGTGTTCATAATAATAATAATAATGATACATTTTATTTCCAAGCACCTTATCAGGTGCTCAAAGACACTTTACAGTGGTACACATTAATACAATAGAAAAGATAAAAAGTTGAATTCAACATATTAAACACCATTGAGCAGACAACGACACGACATTTATCACACAGCGTTGCCAATATATGAATAGATTAGAGCCGTTGGAGATTGTTAACCAAACAAGTACTGCTACTTTAATTAGCCCCTGTGTGGGTGAAAAGACAGACATATACCCAGCCCAAAACCCTTCCACTTTATCAGATTTGTATCATCTGCTATTTACATTGTTATCAGACTTCAAAAAAGACCATTACATGAACTCAGCCCACTGTCTCCGTGTTGAGATGAGTTCAGAGGCGTTTCCTGCCATGAGCACACTGGAGGAGGTAGTGAGTGACTGTGCTGTGTCCCACAGCTCTGAGGTCCATTGATGATGATGATGATGATGATGATGATGATGATGATGATGATGTTATGTCAGAAGACGACATGGATATGGAAGGTATTCAGCACAGTGCTTTGTGTGAGGACTTGCTGTGCTGATTTTCCAAGGGTGTGTGTGTGTGTGTGTGTGTGTGTGTGTGTGTGTGTGTGTGTGTGTGTGTGTGTGTGTGTGTGTGTGTGTGTGTGTGTGTGTGTGTGTGTGTGTGTGTGTGTGTGTGTGTGTGTGTGTGTGTGTGTGTGTGTGTGTGTGTGTGTGTTATGCATGGTGAATGAGCCTGTAGCAACCTATATAACTGTAGTTTGATATTTGGATACCAATCGTGTAACATAAATGGTTGAAGTTGAACTTTATCATGGTCTTTTTATAATAAGGCTCAGAGCATATTAACAGAAGATTTGTTAAATGAAAATGTATAAATAAACAGTTTTGGGAAATGCACTTAGATGTTTTCTTTCCGAGTTTGGGTTGAAAAGATAAACATCACTCTCATAATAATAATAAGTAGACTAGAATGTTGTTTTGCGTGTTCGTATTATTTCAAAGTGTAGAAAGCTACTTTGTGTAATGGACTGAAAATGTTTGTCCTCCAGAGAACATGGAGAGGATCAGAGCAATAGTTGTTCTGCTTCAAAGCTCATATCTAACCCCTCGATAATACATGACCAAATCCTGACTCCCTGGAATGCTGCTTTACTAACGCAAACCAAGCACGTGTTAGCAATACAGATATGTATAACATTCACTATTTGATAGGCATAATTATAGTGTGTTTTATCATTTCAAACACAATAGTGACCTACATTGAGGAGAAAGTGAAAGAGACAGGAAACTCAATGCTTGAAATGCCTTGAAGTGCTTTATGTTCCCCATACTGCCTGTGCTGCAGCAACTCATGTGTTGGAGTATCCCGTCCTACAGCATCACCTATATTGTGTTGGAGACCTAGCTAATCTAAGTCGAGTGTTACTTAGCGATGTCACTATGTTTTGGAAGTAAACAAAGGAGTCCAATGGAGCCGTTTCAGGCAGGGGGGGGGGGGGAGTGTGTGCGAGAGAAACTCCCACATGAGGGAACACAGGGAGTTTAGCGATTTTAACACTACAAACTCAATTTAAGCAGTGTTGTACCTCGGAAGACATTCGAGTTAATATAGCGGTCAAAGTACAGGTTTTGCAAGATAAACAATGGCTCTGCTCTACTCAAGTGTCAAGTCAACAGAACGGGAACCTGAAGCGGCTAAATGGAATGATTGATATGTACACCTGTCCTCCTCATACTGTGACATGTCAGAGTCCTTGTTCTGTCATTACTGAGGGTGAACAATTGGACAAATATAGCACATTTCTGCCACTTCCAAAAAATCCACATCTTTTTCTTCTTCATTATTTGAGTGATATCGTGACATGTAATAATCAGATAGTTGAATATACATTTGAGTCGATTTTCTTTTACAACAAACACCAAAAAACGTTTTGAAGGAAAATGATTAAACTTTTAATGATTTTTTTATTGGTTGCGTAACTAATAATTATATTTGCAGTTATTTCATTATAAGTTTACATTATTATTATATCCTTTATTAATCAAGGTTCAATAACTATGTTATTATGTTCCTTTAATGTGTCCTTTTTTACGTATTATTATTTCATCTCTGCTTTTCTCTCTCAAGGTGATGACACGATGACAGGTGACGGGGGGGAGTACCTGAGGGCGGAGGACCTCAGGGAGCTGGGAGACGACTCCCTGCCAGGACAGTACCTGGATGGGATGAACTACCTCCGCTTCAGCCTGGAGGGGGGGCGCACTGACAGGTACATCTCACTCTGTCACATTTCAACACTTCTATTGGGTCACAACAAGTCATGAGTAAGAGGGATTCATTTCTTATTTCATGAAAACCCTACTCAACTGTGCCTTAAATGACCTCAGGAAAAGCAAACACACATTTTGTTTAGCTTTGATTTCAACTAACAAATGGTTGTGGCAGATCTCATGGGTTCTGAATTTACAGTGCACAAAAAAACGGAAATTGTTTCTGCATGATTGGTTCTGACCCATGGGACTGTGAGCAAACATGTCCTATATTATCTTAGAGCTCTGGGTGGCATGTAACAGGCAGCAGCTGATTTGAGCTGATATGCTGCTCAATAATAACATTTAAAATCAATGATTTAATGTCTTAACCTGGGCTCCATCTGATTTAACAAAAATGTTAACACTCATCTGCTTCATGCTAAAACCTGTGCTTATCTGCTCTATGTAGCAAACAATTGTTCCCTATGCTCCATACACATCCGACACATCTGATACGCAGTTATGATTCTAACTCTTTAACCCTGATCCTGTCTGAACACTGTTACTTTCTGTGTTCTGTTGTTCTAATTGTTGAATCACTGTGTGAGCCACCTGTCCTCTCCCAGACAATAACCTCAACCACTAACTGCCTGTATTTTTATATTTGTATTTGTGTGTGTGTGTGTGTGTGTGTGTGTGTGTGTGTGTGTGTGTGTGTGTGTGTGTGTGTGTGTGTGTGTGTGTGTGTGTGTGTGTGTGTGTGTGTGTGTGTGTGTGTGTGTGTGTGTGTGTGTGGCAACCTATCCTGCTCATACTTCATCGTTGGTCTCCCTGTCATGCCTTCTTAGTCGAATGCAAAGGTATGTTCTGACACCGACCACAGGTCTTCAGCCTGCAGTATCATGGTCTCTTGTAGCTCAGACAGAGTATTGCATTTTTGTTTTACAAGCGAGTCAGTGTGAAATTATAAATGTCCTGCCTTAAAGGGAAAGATTATGAAACAACCTTTTTTCAGGGCTGTGCACTAGAGCCATTTGTGAAGTGCCTACCAACCCACACACTGTAAACAACGCAGTCAGCTGTTATGTGGGCTGCCAAGTTGTACAATATGGGATTCAGATGTGGCTCTCCTTCTGATTCCACATGTAGAGTAGGCTTACTCAAAATAAGCCATTATATATATACCAATCCCCCACACCCCCCTCAACCACCTTCATCTGAAGTATCTCCACTAACAGCTTGAAATGATCGTGATATTCCCTTTTTGGCAGTGTTGGTCTGTACTTTTTCTGAAACATGGCATTTTGTACAGTCATGGTCCCCAAAGGTTGAATACTAATTAATGACAACCCCAGTTTTTTATTTTGTAAACTAGTTCAATCATCCGGTGAAAACTAGTTTTGGTTCTAGACTTCAGGAGATCTAGTACCTGCCTAACAGCATTCCCATTAGACTCAGCTGTGTGTTGTTATAACTGCTAGTTGTTTACAGAACCAGTGTAAAACCTTGCAGTAGTGTATCTGTAGAGTCGTAGCTGTGTGCTATATTTGTCTGTTAAACTAGTAACATGTCCTAAGTGTGTGAGACAATGCTAGTTTAGAAGCTGTTCATCTTTTATTTTGGCAATGTTTCTGATTGTGTTAGCAGTGTGTAGGATTTAGGGGGACCAATGTGAAACATCATTGTTGCATTACCATCAACATTTAAACATTTGAAACACAATGCATGTGTAATGAGTGTTTTCACTAACAAGAGTAGTTGTGCCTCATTGGCATTCATGTGCTTCAACTTTTTTCCCAAAAGATGTTGATAATTCTTTATTTTGAACATGTATCCCTGTTGTGGAATGAAAGTGCATATTTTCCCTGTTTTCATTCATGGCTGTGATTGCTGCTATTATCATGACTTCTAGCTTCTTGAATGCTTTTCCTCTCCTGTGCTCCAGTTGTGACAGGTCCTTCACACCCACACACCACAGCTACTACTCCCCTAAACATGAGAGCATGATGGACGAGATGCTGACCTGTCACCAGGTAAGGTGTATGGTCAGTGGAGTCACTAGCACTGCAGGCGGAATACACCTTAGATCCACATCATTGTGTTCATTTGGCACATTTGTTATATGGTGTTATTTGTATATGGACTGCACATGTACCTATGCACTGCACCACTTGGATGTACTTACAGTACTTCAATCCTTCACATCTATGTAACTTTACATTTCTACTCTACTACATGTATCCGTCTGTGATAGATAACGGTCAATCTAAAGATTAGAGTCTTGACTGAGCCCTTACATTAAGGTGTAAATGAATAACATGAAAGGACACTTTGATTCACCTCCACTAGTAAAACAAATACAACTCTATGGATAAGTTAAAGAGGTTTCCTAAACCATAACAAGTCCGGTTTCCTTAGTAACCCTAGATATACTATCACATGGAATGTGCAGAATCTCCCTTTTTTCAGTTCATATTGATATATTCAAAACAAGCTTGTATGTGTCTCATAAGAGGTTAAGTGCTTCGGGATTTGTCTTGGCATATGAGTAGCGCTATATAAATTCAATTTATTATTATTATTTTATTCCAGGTTTCGACACTAGCTAGGACGAATGAGAGCGACTCGTATCGTCTGAGTTGGGGCACAGAGAACCTGGACAACGTGGCTCTGTCGTCCAGCCCCGTCCACTCTGGGTAGGTACAGTGTGTCAGACTGTGGAAATGATTCATACGACTAGAGGTGCACTTTGAGTGGACATATTGAACACTGGATTTCAGTTCATGAATATGCATTAACAATCTCATCAAGGTCCTGATAGCTGCTAATGTGTGATGTGCTTAATTACATTTCTCACTCGGCAGCTGTTTCAGGAATTGATTCAGTACTGCACATGAAGACATTAACCATACCTCTCTTGTTCCTACAGTTTGGTTTTAAGAATAATTATAAAGTAATCAGCACTGTAAGCCTCAAAATACATTATTTTTGGTTTTATTCCAATTTAAATGTTCTTTTCAAAATCCGTGGCTTATCTAAAGAAAGAAATGTGATTGTACGTGATTTTCTTCCAAAAGTGTGGATGCAGTAACACATTGTACAGGGTCGTGCTCAAAAAAAGCATTCAAAGGTTCATCTCGGAGCACCAGGAATGTTTCTTCCTGATCTGGATTAAAAAAACAATAGTTAAAGACACTTCAGTATTTCTGCTCTTTCTGAGTCTGACATGAGAAGATGTATATCAATCTGAGTCTGACATGAGAAGATGTATATCAATCTGAGTCTGACATGAGAAGATGTATATCAATCTGAGTCTGACATGAGAAGATGTATATCAATCTGAGTCTGACATGAGAAGATGTATATCAATCTGAGTCTGACATGAGAAGATGTATATCAATCTGAGTCTGACATGTACTGTGTCTCTTTTCCTTCTTCCTGTCTGCTCCGTTTCCTCTGAGTCTGACTTTTCATTCCTCTCTGTCTGATGTGGTTGTTGCTTTTAGCCGTTCCTCCCCGTGCCATGAACATGGAGACCACTGCAGGTGATCTTCTGCACCTTGGTTAAATATTTCTCCACCTCATCTTCATCGTTCTCTTCCTCCCCTCACAGTGTGCTCTCCCGGTGGAGAGGTGTTTGTGTCACTGTCCTCAACACACATTGCCTCATAGACTTTGTCAAACCATTTTAATCTGACATCAAATGTCAAAATATGACATCTATTTTCACATTCCGAGTCCCAGAGTTAATATCTCTACACGGTCATATCATGTTACAAATAAAGTTAAAAGAAAACAACAATAAATGGTGGATAGCTGGACAAAAGAAGGCAGTGAAAGTTAAGGACATGTCTGTGGATTTCATACAATGTCTTGTTGATTGTGCATCTCCACTAACTTACCCAGACCTGAGAAATATTTTGGCATAAGATAACTATCATTATATAAAGTAATTTGTATATTATATACCATACAGTCGAATCTCTGTCAAGCTGAAACGTTACTGTCATAACGTTTGAAATGAAACCGCCCATCAGCAATGGAGAGGAGACATATTCCTTTAACAGCTCACTGGTTGTGTTTCTGAATACATTAACTCCTGTGTTTATGTCCATGTGTGTTTGTTAAAAACTGTGTGTGCTTTACTGAAAGGTAAAAGTGTACATTATAACTGAGTAATGATCAAATAGTACACATCACATCATCTCACCCATATTCCCGCTCTTTGGGATGTGTGATCCGTGTGCATTTGCCACTTTGCATGAGGAGTGAGGTCAAAGAGGCTTAAGCTATGAAGTCAAAAGATTATAGGGATGAATTGTGATCATAGTGGCCATTCAGTGTTGAGAAAATAGACACCAAAAATACGGCTTTTTATATTTATGGCTCGTTTATCAGTATATATTGTTATTTTAATCCAACAAATCTTCCATTTTGAATTTTTTGAAGAAAAAGAAAAAACCTTTAGTACATTTTTGTGAAATTGACATTTATAGCAACTGTAGCTGCTGGGTTCTGGTTCTGAGCCCTTTAGCTGATGGGTTCTGGTTCTGAGCCCTGTAGCTACTGAGTTCTGGTTCTGAGCCCTGTAGCTGCTGAGTTCTGGTTCTGAGCCTTGTAGCTGCTGGGTTCTGGTTCTGAGCCCTGTAGCTGCTGAGTTCTGAGCCCTGTAGCTGCTGAGTTCTGAGCCCTGTAGCTACTGAGTTCTGAGCCCTGTAGCTGCTGAGTTCTGGTTCTGAGCCCTGTAGCTGCTGAGTTCTGAGCCCTGTAGCTACTGAGTTCTGAGCCCTGTAGCTACTGAGTTCTGAGCCCTGTAGCTGCTGAGTTCTGAGCCCTGTAGCTACTGAGTTCTGAGCCCTGTAGCTGCTGAGTTCTGGTTCTGAGCCCTGTAGCTGCTGAGTTCTGGTTCTGAGCCCTGTAGCTGCTGAGTTCTGGTTCTGAGCCCTGTAGCTGCTGAGTTCTGGTTCTGAGCCCTGTAGCTACTGAGTTCTGAGCCCTGTAGCTACTGAGTTCTGAGCCCTGTAGCTGCTGAGTTCTGAGCCCTGTAGCTACTGAGTTCTGAGCCCTGTAGCTACTGAGTTCTGAGCCCTGTAGCTGCTGAGTTCTGAGCCCTGTAGCTACTGAGTTCTGAGCCCTGTAGCTACTGAGTTCTGAGCCCTGTAGCTGCTGAGTTCTGAGCCCTGTAGCTACTGAGTTCTGAGCCCTGTAGCTGCTGAGTTCTGAGCCCTGTAGCTGCTGAGTTCTGAGCCCTGTAGCTGCTGAGTTCTGAGCCCTGTAGCTACTGAGTTCTGAGCCCTGTAGCTGCTGAGTTCTGGTTCTGAGCCCTGTAGCTGCTGAGTTCTGGTTCTGAGCCCTGTAGCTGCTGAGTTCTGGTTCTGAGCCCTGTAGCTGCTGAGTTCTGGTTCTGAGCCCTGTAGCTACTGAGTTCTGAGCCCTGTAGCTGCTAAGTTCTGGTTCTGAGCCCTGTAGCTGCTGAGTTCTGGTTCTGAGCCCTGTAGCTGCTGAGTTCTGGTTCTGAGCCCTGTAGCTGCTGAGTTCTGGTTCTGAGCCCTGTAGCTGCTGAGTTCTGGTTCTGAGCCCTGTAGCTACTGAGTTCTGAGCCCTGTAGCTGCTAAGTTCTGGTTCTGAGCCCTGTAGCTGCTGAGTTCTGAGCCCTGTAGCTGCTGAGTTCTGGTTCTGAGCCATGTAGCTACTGAGTTCTGGTTCTGAGCCATGTAGCTGCTGAGTTCTGGTTCTGAGCCATGTAGCTACTGAGTTCTGGTTCTGAGCCATGTAGCTGCTGAGTTCTGGTTCTGAGCCCTGTAGCTACTGAGTTCTGGTTCTGAGCCCTGTAGCTGCTGAGTTCTGGTTCTGAGCCCTGTAGCTACTGAGTTCTGAGCCCTGTAGCTGCTAAGTTCTGGTTCTGAGCCCTGTAGCTGCTGAGTTCTGAGCCCTGTAGCTGCTGAGTTCTGGTTCTGAGCCATGTAGCTACTGAGTTCTGGTTCTGAGCCCTGTAGCTACTGAGTTCTGGTTCTGAGCCCTGTAGCTACTGAGTTCTGGTTCTGAGCCCTGTAGCTGCTAAGTTCTGGTTCTGAGCCCTGTAGCTGCTGAGTTCTGAGCCATGTAGCTGCTGAGTTCTGGTTCTGAGCCATGTAGCTACTGAGTTCTGGTTCTGAGCCATGTAGCAGCTGAGTTCTGGTTCTGAGCCCTGTAGCTACTGAGTTCTGGTTCTGAGCCCTGTAGCTGCTGGGTTCTGGTTCTGAGCCCTGTAGCTACTGAGTTCTGGTTCTGAGCCCTGTAGCTACTGAGTTCTGGTTCTGAGCCCTGTAGCTGCTGGGTTCTGGTTCTGAGCCCTGTAGCTACTGAGTTCTGGTTCTGAGCCCTGTAGCTGCTGAGTTCTGGTTCTGAGCCATGTAGCTGCTGAGTTCTGGTTCTGAGCCCTGTAGCTACTGAGTTCTGGTTCTGAGCCCTGTAGCTACTGAGTTCTGGCTCTGAGCCATGTAGCTGCTGAGTTCTGGTTCTGAGCCCTGTAGCTACTGAGTTCTGGTTCTGAGCCCTGTAGCTACTGAGTTCTGGTTCTGAGCCCTGTAGCTACTGAGTTCTGCATGGTTCTGAGCCCTGTAGCTACTGAGTTCTGGTTCTGAGCCATGTAGCTGCTGAGTTCTGGTTCTGAGCCATGTAGCTGCTGAGTTCTGGTTCTGAGCCCTGTAGCTACTGAGTTCTAGTTCTGAGCCCTTTAGCTGGTTCTGAGCCCTTTAGCTGCTGTGTTCTGAGCTCTGTAGCTGCTGAGTTCTGGTTCTGAGCCCTGTAGCTGCTGGGTTCTGGTTCTGAGCCCTGTAGCTGCTGAGTTCTGGTTCTGAGCCCTGTAGCTGCTGTGTTCTGGTTCTGAGCCCTGTAGCTGCTGAGTTCTGGTTCTGAGCCCTGTAGCTACTGAGTTCTGAGCCCTGTAGCTGCTGAGTTCTGGTTCTGAGCCCTGTAGCTGCTGAGTTCTGGTTCTGAGCCCTGTAGCTGCTGGGTTCTGGTTCTGAGCCCTGTAGCTGCTGGGTTCTGGTTCTGAGCCCTGTAGCTGCTGGGTTCTGGTTCTGAGCCCTGTAGCTGCTGGGTTCTGGTTCTGAGCCCTGTAGCTGCTGAGTTCTGGTTCTGAGCCCTGTAGCTGCTGGGTTCTGGTTCTGAGCCCTTTTTAGGCCATTCTTCTTTTACAAATAGCATTGGACAAAACCTGCTTTAAAGCAAGTGTTCTGATAAAGACTGTATCATGTGGTTCAAAGCTTCAGCACGAGTAAGTCAACAAACCGTGAGTGTTCATCATTTGTTCATAGTATCCACTTCAGGCAGAAAATATAAAGGTTTTTCTTTGGAGATATTGCTGGAAAAGACCTTAGGCTAACAATCTACGAATGAACGTTGGTGTCTATATTCTCATCACTTAAAGTGATCATTGCAGACTGTCTTTAACTTGTGTAAATATCTCCCGTTACGCCTCAGCTTCCTGGTCAGCTTCATGGTGGACGCTAGGGGCGGAGCCATGCGCGGTTGCCGGCACAACGGCCTCCGCATCATCATCCCGCCCAGGAAGTGCAGCGCGCCCACACGGGTGACCTGTCGGCTGGTCAAGAGGCACCGCCTGGCCACCATGCCCCCCATGGTGGAGGGCGACGGCCTGGCCAGCAGGATCATCGAGGTGGGGCCCTCTGGAGCCCAGTTCCTCGGGTAAGACCTCAGGGAGGATGATGGAGAGAATAATACATGAGATAAAGATGTAGAGAATCATGAGGGAAGGAAAGGAGAGGTAGAATGAAACATTTTCACTTGGTAAACATTTGAATGCAGGTTTTACACGTGTTTGATTTAATACATTTTCTTAAATATGCATTTGTAGACTAAGAGGGAATATAATTGGTAAGAGTGAAATCCGAAGTATTCAGGAAGAAGTGGTCAGACCTGTTTTATACTGTCTGCACGTTCAGGTGATTGACACTGTTCTGATTCCCTCTCATAAGGATCACACAACCTGCTGCCTTTTCCTTTCAGATTCATTTAACCTCTGCCTCTGCATTACTAAAACTATTTCTGCTCTGGCTTCCTCCCAGCACCAGGGATATGTTAATCTTTGCTCTTCAGCATGCCCTGTTTGATTTCAGCTGCAGTCCAACTCTATTTAACCTTCTCCCTTAACGCTTAATAAAAAAGCCTTTCTCAATAACCCCACCTCAAGGACATAGATCCATCATTGGTTTGATATGTGGCCTCAAATTCTGCCCTCTGCTGGCAATGTTTGTAATACTGTAGTAAAAATGTAAATTATCAATTTAGGTTAGAAATTCTAACATTTTCAAAAACTGCAAAATCGCTTTATGGCTTATAACGAAAAACCAAATCAAAGTCACTGTAGTGCAATAACATTTGTATTCTAATTTAAATCGACATAAAAACAGCTTTTACTACTATACACAATACTTATTTGAATAATTATTGAAAATACACAAATATATAATCATTCAGTTATTATAAATAATCCAACCCATTTTTTCATGTGCTTTAGTGTGAAATCATTTGTGATGAAAATGAAACATTATGAAACAATTGTACGATTGAAAGAATTGCATTGTTGATAAATAATACATATATTATCAGCAAAAAATATTTGGGAATAAAAAGTGAAAACTGACAGTAAATTGAAAGTAGTTTTGAAGTAATAATAAGGCAATTAGCTAACAAAAACTATTTGGAATCATTTCACTTTTTAACATACTGTAATGTAGCCTATAATAATAATAATACACTTTATTTATATAGCACCTTTCATGCTTGACGCAGCCCAACGTGCTTTACAGAGTATGACAAAAAATCACAATAAGAAACATAATTCAAATATGTAAAAACAATAAAACAAAAATATGTTATATTAAATAGTGTGTATGTATTTTTGTCGTTATGGATTTTGGACTCAAAAGAAAAAAGTGACCAAAGTGTGAATCATCTTATTGAACTGGTATCTAAGTCAATCCGTCCCAGTGGTTTTCTTATGTTGAATCCAAACCCAAACGTTGTGTGCTCTTTCTTCCTCACTGCTGCGTATGGATGTTTGGTCGATCACACAGTAAACTGCACCTCCCAAATGCCCCCCCGCCTCTAAATGAGGGAGAGAGTTTGGTTAGCAGAATCCTCCAGCTCGGCCCACCTGGGACCAAATTCCTCGGGTAGGGTGGACAGATTGGTTTTTCATATGAAACAATCCATGGATGCCGTTGTCAGTGCTTTATTTCACAAACCCTTCCATTTGGTGTTTTCTTTTTGCCTGTAGGTGTTGTTGTCTCACACCAGTGTCTCGTACCCCTCTTCATCTGTGCTTATAACCCCTGAAATCACTTTACTGCAGCAGTACTTTCTTTAAACCCTTCTTCTGCTTAGCCCTTTCCATTTGGAGTTTTTTCTTGCTTCCTTTTCCTTTGTGTTCTTAATCATTTTCTTAAAGTTTTTTTTTTTTATTTCATTGTGAAGTGTAAATGGTTGTTTGGCCTAAGAGTAGCTAGTGAACCAAATGGAATCAACAATGGTTTTTGGCAACTGTTGTTGGTTATGTTTTGATCTCCTTGTTATGAAAATGTAAAGTTGATCAGCACATGTTTTAAGAGTTATGCAGTCATGCATGCTCCTTACTATTAATCAAGCAGGGAAATGATCTTAAAAACCAAATACGAAAGCTTTGGTTATTTCTTTAGCCAAATCACATTACATACGTTTTAGATATTGACACATCTCCTGCCACCACTAAACAACAACTAAAGTGTGAAGCTGAAGAATGTTAGCAGGTTTATGTCAACAAAATAATCAGATATTAAAAGCTACTTTCAGGTCAAAGAACCCTCAAAATACCACGTACAAATATCATCAGTCAAGCTTTATAGCTGTGTGTGTCCCATGTTCAATGTACATGTAGCATGCCTCCTTATTATGTGTTGTAGCTAGCTTGTTGTGATTTAGCATATCAGGTAAGTATTCAAGTGATATATCAACACTTTAACATTAAATATAGTGTACCTACAAGACATTTTATTATAAGAAGGGTAACTGTAAACATGTGACCCGGTGGGTATATTGACACATATTCACAATAGTGATTACAGTACATTAAGATAGTTAGCAACCAAGATAAGCAGTGGTAACAGTCTGGAAAGTTGTCTGGATGCTAACCAGCCTAACAATTATATCAATTATACAAGGTAAACTCAACAAGTGTTACCACCTGGGATGGCACTTGTGAACAGAGTACTTTGCATTCCTGAAGTCAGACAGAAATAGTTGATACCCAGCGTGTGCTTTATCAATCAGGTAGATAACATCACACACCTAGGACTACGTTGATCTGAGACCTGTGATGGAAATCCAAGTTTAAGATGCCAGACCTATTTTTTATCCACACTTTATAGAACTATATTTACATCAATAAATGATGTGTGTAGTACTGAAGGAAGTATAAACAACACTAACGAATTACCCAAAAGAATATAAGAAAATGTACTGTTGACACAAATAGACACGAAAGACTAATATACATCTTATGGCAATCCTACCACTCACACACACACACACACACACATGATCAGAGGCACTTATGTGTTACTTGTAACTGCTCACACTGCCGGGCCTCCCCCCTCCAGGCCTGTGATTGTGGAGATCCCCCACTTTGCTGCCCTGCGGGGGAAAGAGAGGGAGCTGGTGATTCTGAGGAGTGAGACTGGAGAGAGCTGGAAGGAGCATCACTGTGAACACACCCAAGAGGAACTCAACCAAATACTCAACGGCATGGACGAGGGTCAGTCTCTGAGGGTGTGCCAGTAGACCACACCATGACTCTAGGAATTTAAAATGTTACCACATCATTGTTCCTGACACATGTCCCTCTCTGCCACCCTCCTCCAGAGCTCGACACGCCGGAGGAACTGGAGAAGAAGCGCCTTTGCCGAATCATCACTAGAGATTTCCCACAATACTTTGCAGTGGTTTCACGTATAAAGCAAGATAGCAACCTGATTGGTCCTGAAGGAGGCGTCCTCAGCAGCACTGTTGTGCCACAAGTACAGGCAGTGTTTCCTGAGGGAGCCCTCACCAAGAGGATCAGGGTTGGACTGCAGGTAATCAAGAAAAGCAGTGGCGTAGTCTATACACCCCTAGGATATATGTTGGAGATGTGGCTTTTTTTCCATGTGTCTTATCATAGCAGTGCATACATGTTCAGATGTCAATCCATCAGAACATCACAAATAAAAAAGATGAACCAGTGGATGGGGCTAGATGAAAGTCAAAGGATCCCTGTTGTTGTGACTAAAACTCAGGCCTCTATTAGTCAGATCATCTAAGAGATGTTAAGAGAATTCAATCTAAATCAAATCTGTGTTGTTCTAGCCAGATGAGTAACCAAGAGATCACAAACATTGAAAGACATGGCTGTCTGGAAACAATGAATGACTCTCTGTCTTGTTGATACTACGGTAGATAAGTGTGTAGCAGGACAGGAGGAAAGTAAACACACTCACACTGTTTAATGTACTGATTATTATTTGGGGTTAAAAATACAGACATTTTATGTTGAAAGTGACTTGGTTGATTATAATTGTTCCTTTGTAAACTTCAGTAGCTAGGTCACCGGGCTATCCCTCTGTTTCTGCGTGTTTAAGCATATCATTTTTTGACAGCTGGCTATATTAAATATTCCTCTGTCTGGCGCCCAAATGAAATGTATTCGTTCAGGGATAACACCTACGCTACAAGTGAATTGACCTAGTTGTCAGAAGATCATCAAATTCAGCAAAATAGCTCAAATTCATTATTTCAAGACTGTGGATATCTGTACAAAATATCATTGCATCTGGGCTCCATTAAAATATTTCTGTTTGTCAAGATGGAGAAGGTTCAAACTATTTCCTGCTAAAAGAAATGTACTTTCAGGTAAATCAATACCATGGACATCTCTAGAGTATGCCAATGCCTGAACATGTGATTACATTTCAGCAAACCTTCTTTAAGGAGATTATCCTCAGTGCCTGGCCTTATTTTAGGAATCACCCCTGTGTAGGATTTATTTGCAACAAAAAGTAAGGTGTTGATTACTCTTGTCCACCCTCCCAGGCCCAGCCAGTCAATGTGGATGTAGTGAAGAAGATCCTGGGAAACAAAGCCACCTTCAGCCCCATCGTCACCCTGGAGCCTCGCAGGAGAAAGTTCCATAAACCCATCACCATGACCATCCCTGTTCCCAAGAACAACTCTGACATGGTTCTCAATGGCTTTGGAGGGGACACCCCCACCTTACGGCTGCTCTGTAGTATCACAGGTTGGTGAACACATGCAGATACACACACATACGGTAACTGTGAATAGACCAACTTCACACGCGCTCACATTCTAATATGTCTATGTGCAGGTGGAACGACGCCTGCTCAATGGGAGGACATAACAGGAACTACTCCGCTAACATTCATCAATGACTGCGTCTCCTTCACCACCAATGTGTCTGCAAGGTAACAGAAAGATCATATCTGTTGTATCACAACAAACGTATCAGTGATTTAAACTGACTCTGATGCTAACATAGATTTCACTTTGCTGTTTTTCCCAATCCCCTTCTGCTTTCTAGATTCTGGCTGATAGACTGTCGGCAAGTGCAGGAATCTGTTAATTTCTCCACTCAGGTGTACCGAGAGATCATTTGTGTACCGTACATGGCCAAGTTTGTCATCTTTGCAAAGACGCATGATCCCATTGAAGCCCGACTGCGGTGCTTCTGCATGACAGATGACAAGATTGACAAAACTCTGGAGCAGCAGGAGAACTTCATCGAGGTGGCACGCAGCCGAGATGTTGAGGTGAGAAGGAATGTTTCACTGACCGCAGAGGATTGGAAGTGTAGCTCACTTTGCATTTAAAGCCTACCATCTGCATCTTGTACAAGCTACAGATGTAAGATTGTGCCCTCTCATAACCCTGAGTACAATAAACTGAAATACAATAAATTGTTGATATGAAATCGTGAATAACCCTCTCAAAACACGATTGGATCAGCATAAATGATGCTCCCTAGTCTGCAGGTTTGGTTATTTGCAGACAAAGATGGGCCAGTGTAAGTCACAAGAACACTAAGGACATTTCTCAAATATGTTTGCTTAATCATTGTTATGTACAAAGGTCAAGGCTAGGGCTTCTGATAAATAGTTAGCACGTGGTTAAAACAAAACGGATGTATGTTGTTATGTAGTCCTGGTTCTTATCTGTGTGTTGTTGTATTTGACAGGTCCTGGAAGGCAAACCTATCTATGCAGACTGCTTTGGAAACCTTGTTCCACTCACCAAAAGTGGCCAGCACCATCTCTTTAGCTTCTATGCCTTTAAGGAGAACAGACTAGCACTCTTTATCAAAGTAAGCACTTTACTTAACTTGAAACAAAGAAACCACTCACTTTTTTTGTGTTGCTTGTATGAACAATAATTGATTATTCTGAATGATTGTAATAGCAGTGACTAATGCTGATGCTCTGGGTTTCGCAGATCAGAGACAACACTCAGGAGCCCTGTGGACGTCTGTCCTTTATGAAAGAACCCAGGAACTACCGGGCACTCACCCAAAATGCCATATGCCACCTCAACATCACCCTTCCATCGTACTGCAAGGTAAGTCTGGTGTTGACTCAACAAAACATGCTTAAGATTGCGTATTTCATATTTAATCACAACATTGTTTATCTAAATGGTTATTTGTAAGCAGGACCATACTGCAATCTTGACCCTTTGTTCTCATCGACACTGTAATATATGCTAATCTTCCGCTTATGAATTATTACACCATTGGAAAAAATTACGCAAAATATGATCTTATTTAATTGTATGTTCTTATACATATCAATGACTGACATCCCAAGTAGTAAACGTTTTAACTCTCTATCCAGGATTAAAGGTTGGTGTCCTTTGATCAGATTTGAAGAAAACGACATGTATTGATCTTAAAGTCCCAGGATTCTATGGGCTCAGAACAGTCTCATAATACACACATGCACACAGAAGGATTCACACTTGTATTTCATGATCCACAAAAGGAGTCACACTTGTATTTCCGGATCCACACTGTTTTTCAATGCACGCACAAATGTGTTCCGTTTCATAGACATGTAAATAAAATCCAAATACAGAAAAAGTTTGACATATGTATTTTTGATCCTCACATATTTGTCTTCTGTTTAAAACCGCTGCACCTACAAACACAAACCGCTTTCTGTGCATGGATCGCTGTGCATTCGTGTGTGGGTTTTTTGAGACTCCCCTGACGGTGACCCGATTCGTACTTGTAATTTTTTCTATCTATAGCCAGTCAGATGTCTCCTCAATTCTAAGCCAATCACATGAGCGCACGAGGGTAGATTTCTTGCGTTCATGACGTAGCGCTTCATGTACGCATTTTGCGCTGTCCGGAGCTGACAGGTCCATGGAGCCTGCCTGCAGGCGCTAATCTCAGGACACCTCCACTCTCAGTACATTGCCACTTTCAGAGCAGGAAATGCACGCAAATACAAGCCTTTATATTATTAAGGTACAGTGCCACTTTGAACCATTAATGAATGCTTGTGTACATAAAAACGGCAGGCAAAACCGTTTTAAATGTGTGTTTCCTGTATGGCGAATACAGCTGCTTTATTTATGTCTGTATGAAGTTGTTGTGAGTGTGGAGGGAGCAGCTACAGGTTAGCTTAGCCTGATCGATCAGTGCACTACGAAGCCAGTGCTAGACAGTGAACTGTCAACGGGGGGAGCCCCGCCGGTCATTATCGGCCGATATTCACTCTTAATAGTTTGATCGGTGCTCTCTATAAAGGCCGATCAGGAGAGCTGGATCTGATCGATATGGACATAAACGCGAGTGAAGTTTTAGCGAGCTGCATGAGAAACTGACGGGCTGTCAGGAGAGAGGGAGGGAGAGAGGAAAAAAGAGATGATCCTTACTCCCGTGTTATTAGCCATATCCGGTCATAGTCCGGTAATTACCTGCTAACGGAAACTCTGCTACACAATTCTTCTTCTTCTAATTATTATTATTGAAACATGACCGGTAAATTTCAAATTTGTCCGAAAAATTAATTCTGTCCGCGGAAACCCTGCTCCGGACAGCGCAAAATGCGTATGTGAAGTGTCATGAACGCAATAAATCATACCCTCGTGGGGACGCGCTCATGTGATTGGCTTAGAATTGAGGAGACATCTGATTGGCTATAGATAGAAAAAATTACAAGTACGAATCGGGTGACCGTCAGGGGAGTCTCAAAAAACCCACACACGAATGCACAGTGATCCATGCACAGAAAGCGGTTTGTGTTTGCAGGTTCAGGGGATTTAAACGGAAAACAAATATGTGAGGATCAAAAATACATATGTCAAACTTTTTTCTGTATTTGGATTTTATTTACATGTCTATGAAACGGAACACATTTGTGTGTGCATTGAAAAACAGTGTGGATCCGGAAATACAAGTGTGAATCCTTCTGTGTGCATGTGTGTATTATGAGACTGTTCTGAGCCCATAGTATTCACTTACCCAAACCAGTAACACTCCATGCTAAAGCGCACATCTCACAAATGATCATCTGATTGAAGCTAGCAAGGTTATTTGTTTTACATCTTGAATATTTGTGTCATGCAGCTTTGAAGACCTCTCTGGCTTTACTTGAAATGGCACCAGCTGGTTGTCTTCATCGCTATGTTAACCATACACTGCCCCTTGTCTTTTTCTTCCTTTAATATTGCTGTTTCTATCTGTACATCTTTCTGCTTCTCCCTGCTTCTTGCTCCCAAAGGATTCCGATTCAGATCAAGAGCAAGAGGAAGAGGTAAACGCAGCCACTGCTCCCCCTCCTCTTCTACTAACTAGCTCTGCTGATCTACCCTGTCCACTGTCTTGTCATATTTGAATAGTATAGAAGTACATTTTGGATATATTTTGCAGTAGTGAATTGTCAGTAGCATAGCTGATTGTTGCTGTTGTGTTATGTCTATCATTTGTTCTTTTCCTGAAGTAGCAGTCATAATGGTAGTAGTACTTTTAAAATATTGGCCACATAAAACTAACTGTGGTCTGTTTTCCATGTTGTTTTTCAGACCAGCAGAACGCTTGAGAAATGTAAGACACATTTAACATTTTATTTTCCTCTATAACTACTACTCAAATATTTGCTATCTATAATAATACTGCATGTCCTTATTAATGACACTAATATGACAGTAAAGCTGATATTGTATGGATGATTAGTCAAATGTAGTTTAACATGTGTTCAGAGGAATATCCACTTTGATACACTGACACCCCCAGCAGAGCCCTTAGACTATTCAGAGACCATTTACATCTTTTCAAAGCCTTTTAAGCTTCATGTATTTTTTGTCCTGTCACACAAACCTCCCATGTCAATGTCATGTTTGTCTTAAGGCTTAACTTCATATTTTACATTCCTTTTTTTATGATTTCACACCTGCCTTTTTGTTTTTAATTGAACTCATTCCCCTTCACAATTTGAGATTGGGCATTTGAAGGAAGAGTTAAACACTGCCGTCTAAGTATGTACATGACATTTAAACGCATTCATTCTGTGGTGATGTTTATTTGACAATGGCCTCTGATTCTGTGCCGACTAATGCAGTCATGAGGCCATTTGTGTTGTGCAAATGGTCTAAACAAACAGTTGGAGTGGGGTTGTTATTGTTAGCTCAGGCAGCACAATGTCACTGGTTCTCACATTAAGGAGCTTTTACCTGCTCAGATTACAAGAGCCAGAACAAAGAACAATCAACTTTCTATGGTACAGTATAGAATCAGACCTCTCCCAAAAATCACAAAAAACGTTTGGTATGTGTATTTATCTAAATTGTACTCTTAATTTAGTCATTTTAAAATGACATTAAATGACAGCTTTTAATGGCATTTAACGTAGACTCTGCACTGAGTGGATCAATGAGACTTCTACCAATAGTTGTATCCACCACTGCTTGTGGGAAGTATGACTTCCAATCTGTTGCAGTTTGTCACCATCTGGCAGCAAGAAGGGAATGAGAGAGACTTGTAAAAAATGGAGGAGGAGATGCGATGTCACTGGACTTCAGCTGCTGATACGGCGTTCCCCATCCTAGTAATGTCTTTGTCCCACTGCAGCCTGCATATGTCCCAGCGTTGGACTAGCACTTCTGGCTATGCAAATTCCAAACATTAGTTGCTCACGCAACTCTGAAACTCCATGCTAGTGAGATTAGGGGCCGGAATAATAGTATTCCTCCAGTTGTAGTCCTGTAGCGTAATGATAAAGCAAAAAGTAGTTCACCTCCTGACCCACCCTGAATCCTCCCCCTTCTACTTTCCTACCATTGTTTATCTAGTAATGAGAAAATGACTCAAACAGAAACATGAAAGAATAATATTCTGAAAAGCATTTCATAAAAAATCATTCGAGATAGCCCATATTATTCATAAAACGTACTGAATATACATGGATGATATGTTACTAATGAAATGTTCATGTATATGTTTTCAGGAAAATGTGTATGATACTAAAACTGTATGTTGTACGGTAGCAGTAGTCGTGTATATGGAACAAGAACTCACCACATTACTGAATGCAGACATACTAATAAGCAGCTCTTGAACATGAACAACTAATATTCTCTAATTGCAGATTTCATTAATACACTTACATTTCCACTCACTCCATTCACCCTTCACCAAGACCTTTCCAGCATCCCTTCCCTTTGCTTTGCCTGGAAATAACTTGCCTTACATAACTGTGTATGTGTGTGTGCTTGTATGGCTGTAATATTACATGTAGTATCATTCTTGATATTGAATGTTAATGTCTTCTGTTGTGGCTGAGCTGATTTTTTTAATGTTACAGCATAACACAATATCACGCATTTTTTTTCTTTCTGTTTTTATTAAGGTATATTTGAAATATTTAGTTAAACATAAGGCTGAGAGAAGGGCAAATGGAATTTAAGTGCCCCATCCTCCAAGATGCCTCTTACCAGTATACCACAGATCCTTGTTTCTCTTTAGTTTCTGTGAAAGTAAATTATCTCTTATATTATTATTTTTCTAGAATGAAAAGCAAGGCGAATCATCATATTGTGTATCACTTGCTCTCTTTTGTTAAGACACTACCCAGCCATTTAAGTTGTTTTCAAGCCATTTCCCTGTTATTACATTGACACCTGTCATGCATCCAAGCAATCTTGAGATGTCCTTTGTGTTTCTTTGTTTCATTTGCTGTGCTTTTTTTCCATTGTAATCATTGGTTTCTTGGTTTACCTGGTTTCTCTCATCGTATCTTTGAGTTGTTTTCTATTGGTGTGTGTGTGTGTGTGTGTGTGTGTGTGTGTGTGTGTGTGTGTGTGTGTGTGTGTGTGTGTGTGTGTGTGTGTGTGTGTGTGTGTGTGTGTGTGTGTGTGTGTGTGTGTGTGTGTGTGTGTGTGTGTGTGTGTGTGTGTGTGAATGTATTAAGTGTATAAGCAAGTTATTTCCTGATCATATCCTTATTTAGCCTTTGCTTTACCACAATTCCCCAGAGACATATTCAAGTATAAGCCACATTCCTCTTATACCCTGATGTAGAATCCTTTGTGAATTTGTTGTCCTATGATCCCTGTTCCAATCTTGTCCTGACCACATTCTCCGATGTCTGTCCCCTTTCATTTGAATTTTTATTTCTTTACTCCTTACTTGTTCTTCTTCCATATGGAAGATGAAGAGACGCCAACATCAGCCCTGAAATCAGAGCTGATTCGAGAACCCGACCTTCTATCCGACGTGTCAGAGATGAAACAAGATTTGATCAAAATGACTGCCATCTTGACTGCAGACACCACAGAGAAATCCCCTTCCTTAGGAAGGTGTGGTGTAGAGAAAGGGACTGAGGATGTTTCTGGAGAGCCATTAGAAATAATGGAGAAGGACTTAGAGAAAGTCAAAGAGGACCTAGAGAAAGTCAGTGAGATACTCAGGAGTGGAACCTATAAGGGTGAGGCAGCTGAAGAGACAGCAAAAGCAGCTAGAATGGCAGAGGAGTGGGTTCTCCTATCAGAGAGTGAGATAAAGGAGGCCATAAAGATGGCAGCCTTGGAAACTCAAGAGCCTATCTTACGTGAAAGTAGAGCCAACCGAGGGGCTCCCAGACCAAAAGCAATAAAGGACAGTGGTGACCTGAAAGAATACCTCCTGGATGGATCAGTGGGCTCCAAAATAAAAGTCAAAAAAGAGCCAGCTGTCCAAGAAAGATCCACTGAAGTTGTCTCAAGCAAAAGTGCAAAACCAACTACTCCAACCAAAGGGCAGGACAAAACAGCTGCTGGTGATGTTAAGAAGCCAGTCAGGAGGAAGGGCAAAGATCAGGGGCAGGCAGAGGAATCCACAGAGGCAGGTGCTCTTCTAAGTGTGCCAACAGCTCCTGCCCCGGCATCACCTGTCTCTCCAGTGATTGAAGAAACACCCATTGGGTCAATAAAGGATAAGGTCAAAGCCTTACAACAGAAAGTAGAAGCAGAGCAAAAGAGTAAAAAGGTCACTGCGAGCAAGTCTTCACAATTGCCTGTCGCGCGCAAGCCTTCTCCAAAAGCCAAAGAAAGCCCTAAATTGAAACAGGGCCCCCCTAAATCCCCCAAAACGGAGTCTGAAAAACTTGAGGAGACAATGTCAGTCAAAGAGCTGATGCAAGCATTCCAAACAGGGCAGGACCCCTCAAAGAGAAAGTCTGGGCTATTTGAGCTCAAAACATCCACAATGTCAAGATCAGAGGAATCCACCAAATCAGATACCATCCAGTCAAAATCCATGACCAAAGCAATAAGTTCATGTGTCTCTCAAGAACGAGAATTATCTTTGGATTCCAAACCTCGCAAGAAACAGACCCCTCAGCAAGACAAAGAGATGGAACCTAAGTCAGTTCATTCAGATCTAACTGAAACTACAGACTTTGGAAATGGTGGCCTTGACGATAGCTCTGACAGCTCAAAACATGAGGCTGTGGCAGACTCCCTAAGTGCCAGTTCTGGAGATGGAACCCCTCATCTGAGCTCTGAGGACAGTTTGAAACATGAGGGTCTTGCCACTCCAGACACTAGCCCAGATAGTCTTTCTCCCAAAAGTGGACAGCAGACCTCCACATCTTCAGCAGTAACTGCTACGACATTCAAGTCAGAAAGCAAAGACACAGAGAAGCCTGGCGACTCTGGTGTAGAGACCACTGGTGACCATCTGTCTACAGAATTGACTCTCCCTGTTGCTTCCAAAGACGCTGCAGATGATCACGCTAAAAGTGAGTCCTTTTCTGTTAAAAGCAGCGATTCTAAGCCACCTAAACCTCAAAAACGTACAAAGAGAATTTCAGAGACTGTAGAAACGTTTCTTAGTGATGACGAGAGCCCTGATCATCAGCTAACATTACCTTTAGTTGGTTATCCAGCCTCTAGATCCTCTTCACAGCGTCATGACAGCTTAGAGTTGCCTTTAAAACAAGACTCAGATGCTCTTAGTCCATTTGCCGATGACTCCTTAACAATAAGCCACAGAGACTCTCTAGATGATAGTCCTCTCATGGAAGAAAACTCCTCCCATAAGTCCCCAGATTCTATTGAACCTAGCCCGACCAAGGAGTCACCCCCTCATGACTCTTTAGAGAGTAGCCCTGTAGAGCGAAAAAGCCACCCATCTTTCCCATCATCTCTAGGTCCGCCTAGTAACTCTTCTAGACATCTAGATCCCTCCAAAGCTACAGAATTCCCCCAAGATGCTTTGCGTGGTAGGCTGCTTCGAGACCAAGAGGCTAGTGCTGACGATGAATGTTGTGAGCAGACATCTCAGAGGACAAGTTCCGGTAAGAGTCCCCTCTCCCCTGATACTCCTAGTTCTGAAGAGGTAAGTTATGAGGTAAACCCCAAACCCCCTGAACATACATCCCTCTCTGTTCCATCCAAATCTGCTGTCATCCCTGAAGACCCAGAAGAAGAGGATACATCAGAAAGCTATGAACCTATGAGAAAAATCACCCCAGAGGATGAGATGTTTAAGATGGCAGCCAAAATAAAAACATTTGATGAAATGGAACAGGACGCAAGGAGCAAAATGAACTCTAGAAAAGATTTGGTTTCCTCAGCATGTGCCAAAACAGGGGATGACAGCTATGAAACAATAGAGCACACAAGTGAGAAGCTTTCGCAAAGTGAATGTGGGTTTGGAAAACCCGCAGAAGATTCAAAGATAGCTATTTTTGCTGATCCCCATATTAAAGTACAACCTCCCTCTCCTTTCTCAGCAGGTTTGCATGATGGATCCCACAACAAAGAGGTCATGAAAACAAGAACAACAGCCACTGTCATTTCAGAGGGACCTCCCTCTGTCTCAGACCAGCTTCATTCAGAAATACAACTGGACACTGCACAGGAACACATGGCTTCACCATCTGCAAAAGCTGATACAGACAGTATTTCCAAAAAGGCCTCTGCCACACCACATGTTGAAAACAGGACTGATGAGCAAAAGGAAGAGTGCTTAAGGAAGTCAAAAGACAACAGCGAAGATGATACGCTTGGTCAAGAGTTAGGGGTTTCTAAGCCACAGACTGGTACGCTAAAACATGTCAAAAATGTAACAGATGAAGTGAAAGGAGATCAAAAAGAGCAGCCAGGAGTGCCAGAGGCTGGTGCCTCCGGTGAAGCTAAGGACATGTTTATACAGGAGGTCTGTGTATATGATGACACAGAGGATGATGAAACACTAGAACCTCCCAGAACTGAGTCAAAAGGAGTCACTGCAAGGGTAGAAACGGACTCATGGTCTGCCATGCGGGAGGATGATGATACCTTTGCAGCTCGCGTCAAGGAGGAGGAACAGAAAATACTGAATCTGGTAGTGGACCGTCAGTCTCTGCAAGCAACTCCAGACACAACACCTGGTAGGACACCAACAGAAGAGAGCACTCCTACCAGTGAGCCAAACCCTTTTCTTTTTCAAGAAGGGAAGCTTTTTGAAATGACCCGAAGTGGCGCTATTGACATGACAAAGAGGAGCTATGAGGAAGAAGGAGGTGGTTTTGCCTTTTTCCAGATAGGTGATCAGCCTTTAGATGAGCCTCTCGTAGAAGAGGCCAGGCAGGACAGTATGAGATCAGCAGCAGAAGATGAAGTTGGCCTCAATCTAACACTAGAGGTTAAGAGTGAAGAGACTAAGACATCAAAAGAGGAAAGTGATTCTCAGCTTCAGTCCCCACCTGAGGCTGATCAGCCAGCCTCTAAAGCCGATCCCACCACATCTCAAATCCCTGAAACGAGCCTTTCTGCTTCATCCAAAACTGCAAAGAAAGATCAGACATCACCTGAAGGTCTAGAGACTAAAACAGACACAAATGTGAATGAAGGATACTTAGATTTAGGAAAACAGTCCACTGACCAAATGATAACAACTGCAGAAACAACAGTCACTAGATCAGTTTACTCTGAGCAGGGCCAAGAGTCTTCTGATTCCTCTCCAGAAGAAGCACAGTCAGTGATAGAAGCACCCACACCAACAGACAAAACCAAACAAGTTGCTTCCAGTGGTGTTAAAAAGATTCCAGTCAAAACACCATCTAAGTCTACTTCTCAAGGTCGGGGTAAATCCACAACTCCCTCTCCACCTCAAGCAACCTCCTCTTCAACCACTCTTAATAAAGAGGCCTCCTTCATTTCTGAACCTAAATCTAGAATTCCCATTAAGTCTAGCCCTCCCAAGCCTGATTCTCCTGCCAAGACTGCTCTATCTACCCACAACAAAAAGCTTAAGGTCCCTGTGAAAAAGGATTCAAGGAGAAAATCTGAGACAGATGCAGGTCCCTCTTTGGATATCAAAACCAAGACACCATCTTTCAAAGCCAAGAGCTTCTGTGAGGCGGAGTCTACCACACCATCTGCCAAGAAAGAACAAGGTCGCCCATTGAGTGCTGATTTAGCTAAATCTAAAGGTTTCCAGTCCAGATTGCCAGTCCGAGGCAAAAGGGGTCAATCAACTCATTCATCAACACCCATGAAAGAGAAAAGTGAGCAACAAAAACAGTCCATTGATTTCTCTGAGGAGATAAGCGATGAGGCAGCCAAACTGGTGGCAAGGTTGGCACAGGCAGAGACAGAGAAAGAACAAGAGGCTGCAGCTGCCAACTCAGATGATGAGAGCAGTCTCATTGATCCATCACTCATAGAGAGAGATACTTTCCCTGAGATGCAGTTCCCTCCCTCAGGAGACGTCTTTCCCATTAGACCACTGTGGGATGACCCTGCTGAGACACAGATGCAGCGAATCCCAGATGATAAAGTCCAAAGTCAAGGTATCCCCCGAGCTTAAGGGGCTATTCTCTATCTTTTGTGCGTCACTAGTGAATTGTAGCTGTTAAGGTGCTGCCTCTCTGTTTCTTGTAGTTCAGTCCTATTGTAGTTGAAGAAGTCATGTGTTGTGTGAACTGTGTTTGTGTTGGAAATGATGTTTCTCTTTCCCTCTATGTGTGCTGAATATCTCAAGATTGACTTAAAGGCTTTTTGGAACTTGTGAAAACAACTTAGTGGCTAGAAAACTATGAAACATTAAAGAGTATATACTTATGTAAAAAAATGAAATACAATTACTTTTCTAATGGTTAATGTATTGTTCTTAATCATAGTGTCACTACAAGGTCTTTCACAACCATTTGATACAGGCTTGTTGTGTAGTTGTTCAAGGCACACCACTCTTTAATATGTCCTAATGAATTAACCAAACTGTTAGTATAACAAAAACAGGAAAGCCAATGAATATTTGTATTCAGATACTATTTGTAAATGTTCATTTGGTATAACTTGCAGTGGTGTTTACAGTAGATCCACAGGATGAAGAAGAGAGAAAAGAGCAACGGTTGGCCATTATAGCCGACCACCTGGGCTTCAGCTGGACTGGTGAGTCACACCTTAGTAGCAAAGACATCCAACTTACATTAAAGGGGACCTATCATGCAAAATGCACTTTTGTACGTCTTTTATACATGAATATGTGTCCCCGGTGTTCCAGGGAACTCACCAAGTGTCAGAAAACACAACCCTCTCTATTTTCCTCCATACCCAAATCTCTAAAAAAGGGGCTGCAACGGATCTGATAAAAACTGATCCAGATTTGAACACTGTCCTGACGTCAGGACAGTGGCGCTACGGCTATTGGGCCAACTCCACCAATATGGAGAAGACAGCCACGGCCATTGCCGTTCGAAAGCGCTGGAGACACTGTAGTACATATGCCAGGCCAGTAGATGGTGCTGTTCTCACAGAATCAGCCCTTGCAAAAACAGAGCTAACATTTTTCAAATTGAGCGAAATGAGGCATGGCTAAAATGCATGATCTGTTTGGTATTTTGAAAAAAAAAAAGTATAAATATGCCTTATATAGGTATGGTCCTACACTATATTATTCAAATATAGCATGATAGGTCCACTTTAAATAAACATTATTAGTACAATTTTGGTCGGCTTTCAATTAAAATAGTTGTAATCTTTTAAATGTATCCTTTCACCATCTTAATCATTACAATGTTTTTTATTTCTCAACAGAATTGGCTCGGGAACTGGACTTCAGTGAGGAGAGGATCAACCTGATAAGAGTTGAAAACCCTAACTCACTGCAAGATCAAAGCCATGCCCTTTTGAACCTCTGGGCAGAAAGAGAAGGACAACATTCCACAGGTTAGAGATAAGTAGGGAACATAGTTTTCATAAGTATTGCTCTGAAACACAAGTGAAGTAGAATCTCTCATTTCATTTGGAAAAAATATACTTTTTCAAATTTGAAAGTGGAACTTTTTAACTTAGTTTTTTGTTTTAACAGAAACAGCACTGATCAAAAGATTGACTAAGATCAATCGAATGGACATTGTTCACCTCATCGAAACCAAGATACTCAAGTCCACTGAGGACGACACATCATCACATACCTATGCAGAAATAGAGCGGACCATAGCATTGGATCATAGTGAAGGTACACAAGTCAATGTCAGTTTGAAGCAGAATAATGATTAGTTGATATATCTATGTAGAAAGTTCTTATTGATTTCCTTTTTCAGGTTTCTCTGCCCTTCATGAGGACATTGACAGCCCCAGGCCCGGCAGGCGTACAGAGGCTTCACGTAGGAGTCCAGGCTCGGGACAAGAGGTACCCATGGTGACAGCAGAGGACCTGTCCTCCAGTTTGTCATCACTACACGAAAAAAAGGCCCATAAAGAAAAACTACAAAAAGAGATGGAGACATCATAGTAAGTTACCTAAAAAGTTTAATTCATGTGACCTGTTCATTCATCTAATCATTATTAGGCTTTGGCATTGTTTGGATTTTATTGACATTTTTATGAAAATGTGAGATGTTATCATTCCCCCGGTCTCCTCTGATGTGACTGCAACCTGCCTGTGTGACACAGTGTCTAACCACATGTGTCCAACACATGTCTTGCAATATATCTGACAGGTGCCCAATTGCTTCACTGTTTGTAAAAGTATAGAAATAATCATTTCATTTAAAAATCGACTTTCTATACCCTGTTCACAAACAGTAAACTGTTCCCAATCTGTCTCACAGCCCCGGGGGACTGAGTCAGGGATCTCAACTCTTATTAATCCTTCCAAAACAAAATGTGTTGCTTTGCGCAGCACCATCCCGTCCAGAGAGAGCGCCAATGTACATGTTAAGGAACCGATAAGCAGAACCCAAATAATTAGTTTTTCTTTGGATAACCAGTACTGGGCAATTGATATAGGTTCTTCCTCAGAACCGAGTTTCAGTTCCCAACCCTAGTCATTACTTACCAGGGTTATTTCTGATTTGTCTTCACTTTCAAATGAATAAATTGAAATGAATTGTTGTTTTGTTTTATCACAGCTCATCACAAAGAGTATATGAAGAATTGACAGATACCGTACACACAGGCAGTTTGAAACAAGTAAGTCCTTTCTTCACATTGTACCGCACAACTCCATACAACCTCCGATCCCATGTGATAGACCCTGTGTACAAAGGGGGACCCAAGTTAGGTGCCCAGATTACCCCATCCCCTCACCTATCTATTGAACCCTGTGATGATGAGGGTGCTGCTGCATATGAAGGGGCAGAGGGGGGAGACGAGTGGAGCTTGGAGTGTCTACAAACCACCCATTCTGAAAACGATGATCATCTTTTGTCAACTTTGCCCTGGCGAGAGTCTTCCAATATTTCTCGAACAGGTGTATGCGAGAGCCCACTGTTGTCTGTGACCGATTTTGGAGATAGCTTGAATGAGTGCGATCAAGCTGAGCAAGACTTCAAGGAATTGTCCATTGAGCTAAAAGGAACCGATGAGGTGTCTGGAAAGATTTGCTCTACACTACAACCTGCAAGTCCTTCTGGTTCAAGTCCTTCTGGTTCTGCTGATGCAACAAGACACATGGATGAAGTTTCACATCGACTCTATAAAGTCTTATATGGATATGATGTTGAATTGACAGGTTCCAATAGTAAGGATGTGTCGGTGGTGCCTATGGATGCATCGCGAGAAGACATACTTCAGGTTCCAGTCAGGGAAGATGCAGTTGATGGAGCAGCTGGACACACACACACTGATCTAGATTTGTCAAAAGTCTTGCCTGATATTTATAATTCCCAAGTTTTAAGTGACCTTAATGAAAAGTCTCTTCATTGCACAAATCAAACCGACACTGCCACTCACACACTAGCATCTCCCTCTGATGACAGTTGTACCATCACAAGTTTAATATCTCAAAAACAGGAACAATTAAGCTCAGCTTGCTTCATTCAGGTGTCACATGACTCAACTTTGGTTCATTCGGAAGATAATGCAATGTCAGTTATAACAAGAGCTGAGTATAGTTTTGAGAAAACACTGTCATTCGGAAAGAGTGAAAATGAGGTTGTTGTTACTGTAGAGACTACACCTGATATCAAAGCTACCAGGTATAGGTCCTGTTTACCAGAATCAACATCTGACACCTCGAGTGAACGTCCTCATGATGGATCATCTTCACCGGAATGTGTGACTGATGAGGAAATGGAGCTGCATTTTCTTGCACCTGATTCTCATAAACCTCCGTTTAGGCCCTTGTCTCCACTACCACCTCCTGTGTTTCCATGGGAAACTGATGATGGTAGGGTTGCAGAAGCCCAGGGGCAATTCATGCTGAGTCCGCAAGGAGACACTTTTATGCTATTAACATCAAAAGCAGAGGAAAGGCCGTTAACACCAATGGTTTCCAACAAAAGACCATTTGGAAGGCAATTATCAGGAGGCAGTGATTACAGCGGTGAGAGATCAATCCCACCACCATCAATAACTTTCGATATAGACGACAGAGCATCGTCACCTAGGTCTGCCATTTTAGAGACAATGCCGTGTTTCTTTGCATCTTCTGAATCCAGTGACTGCATCACAGTTCAAGTCTCAGGGTCTTTTAAAACCTGTCAATATAGATCATCATCCCCTGAGTCATTGTCGTCAGATTTGGAATTTGAATTTGCACGTGTTTCATCAAATCCTCTTGAAGGCAGGCCCTCATCCCCAGAATCTTGGACATCTGTAAATGAATATAAAGCACCGTCACCTGATTCACCTGTCCCTGAATGCAGTCATGACTGGCCTGACTCAGCTATTGCAATGATAGGGGAGAGATCCTCTTCACCTCAATCAGTATACTCGGATGTAGAATATGGCTCCATTTCTCTAGCATCGGCTAATTATGAAGATCGAGCTTCACCCCCTGGACATAAATCAAACTTACCTGAACCATTATTATCTGATACAGAGAATAAACCACCAACACCAGTGGAATCCGTTTTTGAGGATGATGATGATGATGATGGTGATTGGGTTGTTATATGTGCATTTGATATTGATAAAAGAGCACTTTCACCAGATTCAGTGCCTGAATACAGACCGATGTCTCCTCAGTCAGCAATGTTAGATATTAGGGCATCCTCTCCAGAAACCTTAAGTGATTGTCTGTCCATAGATTCTCCCATACCACAATATACACCATCTTTGCATCATGCTGTTACTATTGTTGATCATTCATCATCACCAGAATCTGTGTTTTCAGACACAGAGTACGAGGCCCTACCATTGCTTTCATTTTTTGAAAATAGGCCATTATCTCCTGACTCAAGTTGTTCTGTCAATGATTATGGGTCATATTCTGTGTCTGACCTACCTCTTGAGAAAGACATAACGCTTGAAACGACACATGCTGAAATTGTTGTAGAAGAGGCTTGTATTGAAAAGTCAAAATCTCAGGAAAGATACTCAACCTTTATTATGTCAAAACCTGAAGAAATTCCCATTAAACATAAAGAAATGAAAACTTCCAAGATAAAATCAGTTGTATCTGATTGCAGTCAGTCACAACAAAACACTTTTACACCAAAAGCTGAAGTTGAGCCTTTGTCAGGTATTGAAACAGAAACATCTCAAGAGTTGTGTGATACAGGATACTCAAAGAACAATCCCGTAACTGGGATGACAAAACCTGGAAGAAAGAAAAAATCTAAGAAATCAGTCAAAGCTCATGAACCTGTGCAAAATGTTACAAAATATCAGGAAGAATCATCAGAGAGTTTGGTTACATATGAAGAGATACAAGGCTCTGTTAGATCCCGGTCACCCGTTTTGTCTCCAGAAACAGCATCTGATGATCTAGCATCCTCATTAGCATTTACTACTAAAGTTCCAGAAGTTCAGCAATTACCTGGAGTCTCTTTGGTTTCTGAACCTCAGCATGATATACCTTTATCCTTAGCAGAAGATGCAGTGCCAGTCCACAGTTTAACATACGAAGCAGAACTTTGGAAGCTCATCTCTCAAATTCGTGACCCACAGTATGTAGGAGATACCTACATGAATAAAATCGGAGTGGTTCAGTTTGCTAAAACAAAAACTGAATCTTATCAGTCAAAGTTAGATGCAAAAGTTAAAGCTTTACCATCCGAATATTACCAAAGACGACTGTCTCAGGATTCTGAAGCAGAATATAGACCCATGTCACCACAATCCCTGTTGGTGCTGGATACACTTCGACCAGACTCCTCTAATTCAAGAATATCTGTAGCTAGTCAGGAAGCCTTAATGCCTGATTCCCCAGTTCCTCAGTACTTTGTTTCTCTCTCTGGACCTTCTCAAGTTCATCACAGATCAGATTCAACAGAGTCAGTATTGTCAGATCTGGATCTGGAGACTGATGTAAATATTTCATTTCTTTTTGAGAACAGACCAGCATCTCCTGATTCAGTTACATCTGTAAACATGTACAGGGCACTATCGCCTGAGTCACCTGTTCCTGACTTTAGAATTGGTTTACGAGAATCAGTTGTAATTGCTAGATTGGATCGATCTTCATCTCTTGAATCAACCACCTCTGATCTGGAAACTGTGTCTCCGCTATTATTAACAGAGGACAGCCGCTCTTCCCCATGTTCCGTCGATGAAAACGGGCCACTTTCAACTGAGTCACCAATTCCTGTGTTTGGACAGGCTTTATATGAAGTTGTTGCTCAGGCAACACTGTCAAGGTCCTCCTCACCTGTTTCAGTTTGTTCAAATGTGGAGTATGGGGCTATGTCTCTGTCACAACTGTCCTCTGAATGTAGACCCTCCTCACCTGACTCAGTCGTTTCTGGATTTGACTGTGACTCACCGATACCAGAATTTACTGCAGGGCTGACTGAATCAGAATCAGTTATTACTCCTCGATCGCCTTCGCCTGAGTCATTGGTTTCTGATGTTGAATATGCACAAAGAAGTGTAGACATAGATATTAGCGAGCAGAGAGCTGACTCACCTGAATCACAAGTATTGGACACCACAGAGAGACCATTGGATGGTAGTCTTCAAACCTTACCACTTAAGGCAATAAGGGTACCAGTATATAGACTTGTTTATGATGCTGATCTTTGGAAGCTTATTTCTCAAATACATGATCCTCATTATGTTGGGGAGACATTTTGCAGTAAAACGGGTGTTTTTGAATATGCTGGAACAAGAATTGAGTATGTTCCGGATAATTCAGCTGTGACACATGGAGAGATTGAGGGTTGTATGACGTTGAAAACTACAGATTCATCTGATGCAGATGTTCAACAAGCAATGCAAACCAAGCAAGAGAGCCCAGCGTTAGAGTGCAGCCCTTTATCCCCTGGGTCTCTAATAACTGAAACAGGTGATTCCACTATTGAAGAAAAATGGTCAGCTGAGGATGATTCAACGTTAAGATCAAACCAGCTGATAAGTCAACTAAGAGACCCTCATTACATAGGAGACACTTTGGTAAGCAAAGTTGAAGCGTTTGAATATGAGAATATGAAAAAAGAGACAGGAAAGCCAATGTCACCTGACCCTGAGTCAGAATATACATCCCCGGGCCCAACGTTATCTAGTGTTTCAAGATGTGATTTGCAGGAGCCAGGAATCTCTGTGGAAGAGTATAGACCTGACACTAAAGATAATAAAGATTTGTCAGACTCATTAGAACTAGAGGTTGAGGAGAAACCAATGTCACCTGATTCTGAATCAGAGTTTAGGCCTTTCTCACCTGCATCACTAATGTTCATTTCAAATATCAGATCACCCTCTTCTGAATCATCTGGCTCTCTGAATGAATTTACAGCTCTTTCACCCGACTCACCTATTCCAGACTTTAGACAGGTACTTCAAGAGTCCCCAAACACATTCACGCATTATAGATCCTCTTCACTGGAATCAGTGCTGTGGGATTTTGAAGAGGAAAATGAGTCATCTTTCCCAATGGTCACAGAATGTCGATCTTCTCCTGATTCCTTTGTTTCTCTGAGTAAGTACAGAAGACTTTCTCCTGACTCTCCTATACCTGACTTCAGACAGGCTTTGCTAGAAACACATACTGAGTTGAATGCTTTCAGTCCATTCTCACCTGAATCAGTGGT